CATATGATTAATAGAACATGTTGTTCTTTTTTGTAAAGCTTTTTGATCGAATAAATAATAAGTGACATACTATTTTTATATAAAACTTACGGAAACATATCCAACGATAAAGATCGTATAAACATCTGTTTATTCATATCAAACATGAATACTTAATCAATTTATTTTGACACATATTATAATGCATATTCTCATAACTTTACATTCTTTGTAGTTAATCATCTAGCTAATGTAAATGTTCAACTTTTGTAAACATATCTTTAGTTAATTTTGTGTCATAAATAAGCAATAAAATATTTCAATGAATAAAATACAATATCAATCAACGTTCCTGTATACATATAATTATAATATATATGTATAGAATCCTTCAAAGAAATTCTCTAAATAAAATTTGTCTAAGTCTAAAAATTCTTTTAAGAACACGAAAAAAAGATCTGTTGTACTCATGCCATGCATTATTAAATCAATTTTACAATCTTCAGACTAACTAACATCATTAAAAAAATGTAAACGTAGTCATAGTTTTTGACTTATGCTGAGTCACTCGTGAACTATCTTGATATTTGTCGTATGTCGCCTTACATAAATGTCGACGCCCAAACTATCGTCAGTGATATATAGTGTTATTTAGTCAACAAATAGAAAAATTGCTTGACAGTTTTTAGGTCGTAAATTTACAATTAAGTGCTTAAGCTATATCGTAAAATCGATCTAAAATTTTATTGACATATGTATTCTTCGAACTTTAAGATTCATAAGAGTATAACTGATATATGCTGCTAAATATTAATCATAAGATCCAAAACTTTCAGAGATTAAATGAAGAAAACTATTGAAAAGAGCTTTTTTCAAAGTCATACCAACTATTGTTCAAGATCTATTAAGAATCCAAATAATATATCAGACATATTTCGCATTAGATGTGATCAAAATGAAACTAGATATTGCTTTAATTCTAGGAAAATGACAAATAATTACTCAAGCTAAAAAAAAACATGTATTAAGGTAATAAACATGTCAATATTGCATCCTTGAAAAAGTTTTCATACATCTTTAGGTGAATACTCGATACATATTGCCTACTTTCATGATAAGATTTCAGAACGACGATTTTAGCACCTAGTTTTAATGCATTAGATCATTTCTTATCAGAAAACGTTGACCCTTACATACAGAACTATAATGTTCTTCTTTGACGAAAAGTTTTCTAACAATAATTCGCCTTACATCATTCACTGTAGTATTTAAAAATATGATAAAACTTTTAAAATTACTCAATGCTATAACCCACTATGTTATAATCTAATTCAAGTTGATAAATAAGCAGCTGAGATATTTTTCGATCTTTATTAGGGAGTCATGCTGGTTTTAGAACATCAAACAACAGACAGAACTATTCTTGACATCTGCTAATGAATTTGAAACATCATACCAATCGTAATTTTTTCTAGCACAGACTTGAAAGATTTTTAATTGAAGTTGGCATTCAACATTTGTAAACAATTAAAATTCGATATTTGAAATACTATAAGACTGCTAACTTTATTATTCTGAATAATATAGTTATTGAGAACATCTTAAAATTCCTTATGGATTTATTAAAACATGGATTTTAGTGTATCTAGAAAATTCCATTACGAATCTACATTCTTCTTATAGATTTTCACATGATTATAGAGAAGGTTTTAAGGTATTAATTTGTAAAAGACACAACAAAAACAAATTAAAAATTATTCAAAAAATTAGTGATTCCATCGCTCATCTCAAATAGGACTTTTATGTTCAGGACTAAACACTTTTCTTCTTTTGATTTCAATACCATTTATCATTTTCAATCAATATAATATTGAGCAAATACAGATTTTTTTTCATTCTTTGATTGTTTTGCTTATAAATATTGTCTTCAATCAATATTTAATTTCCATGCATTCAAGCAAGTTTATCAGTTTTTACTACTAAACTGTCTTATTAGTTTAGATGTAGAAACTAAACATGTATCTGCAGTGAAATTAGATCTCAGAAAAATTAATTTGCTTGCATTTTGAATTCGATTGAGTTTATGACTAATAACAATGCAAATCGAAATATCGTTTATTTCACAGATAAACATAAGAATATAATCTTTCTGTGTCAACAGTAAGAATGGTTTAGTATTGCTTATAAACAATAAATTCTTTTCAAACAAGTAACTATTCTATTTCGTTGTTTAATAAAGTTCAAATTAACTTTATTGTATCATTCGTTATTGTTCTTTGACTAATATCTGATCAGCAATGTTCAACTGAGAACGAATCGTCTTTAAAACAGATCTCATTTTTTTCTCTTGTTCTTAACGAAAAAAAAAAATTTTATTAGTATTAATTTAATTTTAATTGATTAGAATATTTCTATTTTGTATTAATTATATTCTCTCAATAATAATGATGCTCTCAAAAATAATTCAATCATCTTGAATGTTATAGTCTGCACTTTATACGAACGAACAAAATTTAAATATTAACAATGACTAGTACAAATACCTCATCATTGATCATAAATTATGATTTCTTGAATTACTGTCTCGATTATATCCGTATTTTCGAATAATCAAATAAATAAGAGCAATTCTCGTGATCAAATAATGTTTTAAGTTTTATTCAGCTATCAAACATTGTCAACTATACTATTAGTTCAAATAGAGAAATAGCAGCTTAGTTAAACAGTTGTTTATAATACTTTAACATCGATATAGAATATTTTGATTTAGTTACCAGATTTTCAAATTATACGTTAGAGGATTAAATTACAGTTAAACGGTTGAATGCATTTGCACCTTTCAGTATATGAGTCGGAGAGTAGGCATAATGATGAAGTTACCTGGATGATTCGTCAGAACAAGCAAATAGAAAAAGAATCCGTGCAGTACATATTCAAAAATGACGTAAATTCTCAACGTTAACATCCCCAAAAACATTTTTTCTTAACTACGAAGTCATTTTTTTGGTACAACCCAAAATACATGTTGACTACTAGAAGTTTTACAAAAACTCTTTAATAATGATTTCTAGTTTTTATTTTTGAATAGATTCTTCTACTCTATATGTATATGTTAGATAGTAGCATCATGGTACGTTTAGAGAATATCGATTAAATATTTCTAAGGGATATAAATTAGAAAGTTTTAATCTATTGGATACATTATCATAAGAGAATTAGACATCAGATAACTTATATTTCAAAAAAAAATCTTTCCTTAATCACTTGAATTGACCTATCTTATTTAATTATCTATAAATGTTGATATGATTTAAGGATTGATTTAAAAAGTCGCAATAAGTAGTAAATGATGAACTAGCTCAAGTACGAAACAAAAACTTTTTAATCATGGTTCGTTGATTCATTGATGAGCTTCTAAACTTGAATATCTTTAAAGTTCATCGTACTTCATCCATCTATTTCTTCTTTTTCTTAATTTATACTTTTGTCTCTATATCATTTTCTGTGTCATCAATTTTCTTCTGATGAAAAACATGATCTGTCATATAAATATGTGCGTGTTCGACACGGTTCAATGGCTTAGATTATATATGAAACTAAGTTAAAAATAAGTCAAATTTTTTTGTTGATTTTAAAAATTTTTAAATAAACTATTTCGGTTATAAACAAGTCAATTTTTTATCGACTAATTATCATATGTATATATATATATATATATAATGTTTATTTATTGACTTTTAATCATTCTAGTCTAATTATGTCAAAATCAAAAAAGTTAATGCATTATAACGATTGCTTTAATAGATGTGATACTATAAATAGTTTATAATGAGAATAAATAAACATACAAATTGCATTGGTTTCTATTATATCGAACTTGATTGTAATAAAAACTAAAACTAACAACCTATTCACATCGATTCTCAATAAATTAACATTTAAATTCTTATCTCTTGTAATTACTTAATCTTCTACAGAATGATTCTTCTTGTGTACGTTCAAGTCAAATATTAATCAGAAAATTTTCTTAGATGATTCTATAATGAGTAACTTCAATAAAATATATTCAAATATGCAAATCTTAACAAGACTATGTTTAAACATGAAAAAAAAAAAATCTTTAGAGATTTTATCTTTCTATAGTCGACAGTATTAATTATTATGATGACAAATAATTTGTTTTGCTAAAACATTCTCTTTCTGTATGTATTTATTCACTCGAAACAAACGACATAGAGATTGAAAGATTTCAACGAATTTTTTTTTTTTAATGTTCTTTATAGCTAAGAGCCATTTTAAACAGCATATTTGTTCGATGGATGAATAGCTTCTATTTATCTTTCATATACATATTAGTATTATAATCGACGCAATGAATATATGATAAACTAAACGTTATTTCGAATACCAAACACATAGTTTTAAGTGCTTGTTCGTTTAGTTACATTCCTTTTTTCTTTTTTTTTACTTTCTCATATGATAGAACGAAACATTACTTCTAGGCTAAATTTACCTTAATATATGAATATAAACTCGAATGTGTTTAAGTACAGTGACATCTGATATCGAAATTGTACATAGTTTGATTTGATATTTTACCCAATAAAATCGAAGTCATTCATTATTATCGAGCAATCGTATTCGTTTTTATTATCGTATATTCGTCTTTCTCTCCATTCGATATGCATTCGTATGACCCATAGAGAAAGCTACCCTACTTATCTTTATTCATTTGTCCATAAACTTAGAATATTCAAATAGAGTGACAGAAACGAAAAGGTCCTTCAGAAAAAAAAAATTTTTCTTTTTTGATTGATTGTTATTACTAAAAATACGTAGATCTCGAGTATGATGATGATAATCTTTTTGTAAAGGTGAGAGCAGAATCAAAATGTTACCCATTTTTTTTGTCTTTAAAATTTATATTCGCGTTTTTTTTCTTCAACTATCAACTGTTTGACTTAAGTTTGTCCTAGTCTTATTGACAACATAATAATAAAAAAACAACGAAAGACGACATCATGATTGTGCTCGAACCGTACTCACCCGAGCTCCTATGGATATTAATTGTTGGTTTCATTATTGCATTTGTATTAGCTTTTGGTATTGGTGCTAATGATGTTGCCAATTCATTTGGTACAAGTGTTGGAAGTAAAGTATTAACATTGAGGCAAGCATGTATTCTGGCAACAATATTTGAAATACTTGGATCGATATTAATTGGTAGGATAGAAAAAAAAAAATCAAATGAGAAAAATTTTATATATATTTTTTTCTTCTATAATTTGAATTAATTATTTAGGAGCGAAAGTATCAGATACGATACGGAAAGGTATTATTGATCCAGCTTTATTCGAAAATCCAAAAGAATTAATGCTTGGTCAAATTTCATCGTTACTTGGTAAAAAAGACGAATTTTCTTAAGTATTCAATAAGTTCTTAAAATAGGTTGTTGTATTTGGTTATTGGTTGCTACATTTTTTAATTTACCTGTTTCTGGTACACATAGTATTGTCGGTGCAACAGTTGGTTTTGCTCTTGTTGCTCATGGTTCACGAGGTATACAATGGATTGAATTTGCTAAAATTGGTATGTAAAAAAACCAAAGAACACAATATTTATTAAAAAAATTAACAAATTACTTTATTCAGGTGCTTCATGGTTTGCTTCACCAGCATTAGCTGGTTTTATATCAGTTGTTGTTTTTATGCTTATACGAAAATTTATTCTTGAACGAGTAAAATTTGTAATGATATATTAAAATCAATATCATATCTTTTGTTTGTTTTATCTTTAAGCCTGATCAATTAACAGTTGGTCTTCGATGGTTACCAGTTTTTTATGGTATAACAATAATGATCAATGTCTTTTCAATTCTTCTCTCTGCACCACCACGTTAGTTCCTTGATTTTTGAAATAAATTCTAATCGTTTTGTTTTGTTTTCTATTAATTTAGTTTTATATTTTGATCGTATTCCATTATGGGGAAAATTTGTTACAACAATTCTTGTTGGTCTTCTTGTTGGTCTTGGTGTTATGATTTTTGTTAAACCACGTATGAGAAGAACTATTGAAGGTTTGATAAAAATTGCAATTTTTTTGTACACAAAAAAGAAGTATATATATATATGTTTGCTTGTTATTGTTAGCTTTGTTAAAAAAGAAACACGATTTCGATGCTCGAGGAGAAAGAGACGAATCCGACATAACAAAAAGTGATGGTAAAGTTGAAATTATTGGTGTTATATGTTTTTTTAAGCAAACAAAATATACATTGTTTTTTATTCTTAGGTAATTCAAAAAAGAGACGAGATTCAGAAACTCAAGAAGGAGACGAACCAAAATTAACAAAGACTGATGGAAGATTTGCAACTTATTCTGGTAAATAAAAATTTTGTTTCAATTTATTATTTGACTAATAGATATTTTAGTATATTTTAAAACATAAAAAAAAATGTGAAATGATGATTTTCTAAGCTATTTGTATTATTACACTGGAATTTTATATAGTTTGGCTTTTTTTTGTTTATTTTTTTTTAGTTACTCTTGAAAATGTGAATACAAGTGATAAAGAAACTCAAATTGATCATATATCAATGCTTAAAGAATATGATTTAATACGTTATCAACAACAACATCCAGATCAATTTCGTCCTTATGGTAAATAATTATAAAATTTTGTTAATATTATTTTACGTAAATGTGAACATTCTTTTTTTTCTCGTAGTTGAAATGCAACGAATAAGAAAAGACTCTGAATCAGTCTCAAGTCCAGGTGTTAGTGGTGTATTACGTGTGCGTCGGGACGGTGATCGTTTTCGTAGTGAAGGTCTTGGAGCAGACGGCATAAACCCTGCTGCACAACAACGACCGGTGCCTAATCCACCGCCTATTCGTGAAGTAAAAATAAAATAAAAAGAAATTTTGTTATTTAATTTATATCTATATATGTATATGTATTTTTCTCTAATAAGAAAACAAAAATCTATCGTCTTCCACAAAGTACAAATCCAGCTGCTCTACCAGGCGTGATGTCTAATGAAAATAAAAGTTTGTTGTTAGCTGCTGGTAATTAGTTTGTATATTTATATTATTGGTGATGGGTAGATGTATGAATATAATTTTAGTACTTATGCCCCGTAAGTTAGATAAACGGGTTTAAATTAGATAATAATTAAAAAAAAAAACATATGAAATACAATGCTCAAGTGATTTCAATCATTTTATTTTAAATATAATTCCGCATGTGATTTATATAGGCAATTTAGATTTCAGAAAATTAAATAAGATATATAAATTTATCTTATTTTATTTATTCTGCTCATGCTCATGCTATATCTCTCGTTGGGCGCCTATTTTTTTTTTATACATATTATAAATTAAATAATTATTTAATATATGTATGTATATAAGTTTTTTTTTTTTTTGTTTTGATATAATTTATTAGATGAGGATAATCTATCGACAACATCAGCTAATCAAAATAGTTCAACTGAAGATATCGAGGAAGTAGAAGATAAAATGCCGGAAATGCCAAAAAAAAAAGTTTGTTGTATTTTCTTTCAATTATTGATTAAGTATAAAGTTGATAAATATTTATTCTTTTTTTGACAGAAAAGAGTTGATACTACTAATGATTCAATTGAAATTGCTGGTATTTTTAAATATTTACAAATTCTTACAGCTATATTTGGTGCTTTTGCTCATGGTGGAAATGATGTTAGGTAAGGTTAAATTATTGAAATCGAGTTATTCTTTGATTTTGCTTTTTGTTCTTAAAGTAATGCAATTGGTCCATTGATTGGTCTTTGGTTAATTTATGTTGATGGTTCTGTAACTGCTCGATCATCAACACCACTTTGGGTACTTTTCTATGGTGGTCTTGGAATATCAGTTGGTCTTTGGGTTTGGGGTCGTCGTGTTATTCGTACGATTGGTGAAGATTTAACAAAAATTACACCATCAAGGTAAGCGACTATTATTATTTATTATTTGTTTTGTAATATTTAATTTTTTATTTGAAGTGGTTTTGTAATTGAAGTATCAACGGCATTTACCGTTCTTTTTGCATCTAATTTATCGATTCCAGTTAGTACGACTCATTGTAAAGTTGGTAGTGTTGTGGCAATTGGTCGTTTTCGTTCAAAACAAAATGTTGATTGGTCATTATTTCGAAATATAATTGTTGCTTGGGTTGTGACTGTTCCTGTCACTGGTGGTATAGCTGCTGGTGTTATGGCTCTTCTTCGTCTTATCTTTCTATAATACATTTTCTTTCGTGAATATTAAATCTGAACTATACAAAGATATTCATATTTACTTCTGTTTTTTTTCTTTTTTGTGTGATTCTTCCATTTAAAATTCTTTGTATTATTTCATTTTCTTGTTTTTCTATAATTGATCTTCTAATATTGAACAGTCTAATATTTTAGAGGAATAGATCTGCAAAAATATTAGGTGATTATGTATTAACACTTCAATAAATTCTTTTAGATCGTTTGTTTTTTGTTTGAAGCAATATATTATCAAAATGGCTTACAATAAGGTAATTTGAATTTCATGAGTAGGTTATTATTGATTTGATGATTTGGTGAGTAGGAAGCATTGGCTCTTGTTGTCGATGTTGGTATTGGTATGACACAAGCTGCACCAGGATATGATTCACCTTTACAAATAGCGAGTGATATTCTTCAAATGATTGTTCAACGAAAGGTATGTTGTTTTGTCAGAATATATCGATGCATTATATATTTTATCAGTCTATTCATGGTAAGATATAACTCGGATCAAATAATATTGTTTATAAAAGTCTATTTAAAGTATAAATGCTTATTATCTATTCTTTTCAAAAAAGCCTAATCGTTCGCTTCTAATATATTATGGTGAAGGTTACTCATGACGGAGTCTTTGCAGGTGTCAAATCGAGATGATGTCCATGTGATTAGTACTCGTGAGCAATAAAAAAGTTTAAAGTGTTTTGGTTTTTCTGACCTTCATTCTCGAAATATCAATATTTTATTTGTATTTTCAAAGCAAAAGCTGTGGTCATGCGAAATATCGACTTCAAACTTTGCACGAACAATGTTCTTAATGTGATTAGTTCATTGAACAAGTTGTAACTTTTCTAATATCTCGTATTCTGAGATATTCAACAGTCTTAATACTCATACGCAAAAGTAAATTTTATTCATATATTCACATTTCCAGAATGGAAATACTAATCGTATAATTAAATAATCTCATTAAGAATTTTGTTTATGCAAAGTTTGCAGTCGAAAGTTGATTATCTACGTAATCTGACGGACCCGATAGCTTTTTATTGTAAAGGTTTTCTATCGCTCACTAGTATTCATCAAATGAATATCGTCTCGGTTAAAAAGCAAATTGACATCTGGAGAAAAGTTCTCTTACCAATGAATAAATTCTTGCTTATTAAAATACTAGATAACTACATATGATTTCCTTGCCGATCTTTTTCATCATTATTATTTGCTTTAATTAATCTGAAAAATTGTCTCAGAATACTATATGTATTTTTTGTAATATTAAATAGATGTTTCAAGAGAGTAAAGATGAATTAGCATTAATTCTTTATGGTGCTGATGAATCAAATAATGATTTAGCCGATGAAGATAATTATCGAAATATAAATGTTGTATTTCCACTTTCGCCAGCTAATTGGCATCTATTTGAAGAAATACAAAAAATAAAACCTGGCAGTAATCCAGCTGATTGTAAGTGATCAAGAAAAAAAAATCGATCTACATATCAACTATTCAATTCATATTTGTTTTTTTTTTTGTTTGCTAGTGGTTGATGCTATTGTTGTTGCGGCTGATCATCTTCGTCGTGAAACTGAGTGAGAAAAAAAAACAAGTGCTTGTTAAAAAAAAGGAATAAGCGAACTTTATTCATTCTAGAGGAAAGCATGGTTTTGCTGCAAAACGTGTTATGTTATTTACAAATGCAGCAACAACATTTAGTGATCATAGTCTTAAAACAATTCTTGATTCACTTCGACGTCAAGATATTATTGTTGATGCTATTGGACCAACATGGGGTCAACAAGATGAAGAAGATGAAAATGAAGAAAATCAGCATCCGAATTCACCTATGGAAACAAATGGACAAGAGAATGGGGATGAAAATTCTGATGCTGCTCGTCCAACTACCAATGGACATCGTCATCAAACTTCAAAAAAACCATTAACACACCAACAACAAACGGGTATTCGTGTTATTGGTGAAATTGTTAATACAACCGAAGGAACTTTATTTACATTTCAGTATAATATAAAAAGAAAAAAAAAACAATAATATAAATTTAAATAAATATTTATTATTTTATAGTGAAGCATTAACTATTCTCAGTGTTCATCAAGCAAAAATTGTTAAACCAACAGCAACAAAATATATTATGCAATTAGCTGATCTTAAATTACATATTTGTACTTATATTCAGGTCTATAAAACAAAAAAATAAAAGATCGTTGATAAATTTCATTGTAATGTTTTGTTTTGTTTTGTCAATTAGGTTAAAGATAATAAACCAGGAATTTTCCGCTTAAAAAAAGTTTATGCACGTGATCCAACAACAGAAATAAAAGTTGATCGTGGTCGTTATACAAAAGATGAACAAGATCAAGAAATTGAAAAAGAAGAATTAACCGATGGATTTCGTTATGGTACTACATTTGTACCAATTAATAAAGAAACACTTGATGAAATGAAATATCAAAGTGAAAAATGTTTTGCAATTATCGCATTTTCTGAAGCTAATATGGTACGAGAATATTTAAAATAATGTCTTATTATTAATTTAAGATAATGTTCTTTTCTTTTGTTAGATGCGACGAAGTCTTTACTTAGGTGATACCGTCTATGAAGTTATTGCTGAACCAGGTTTTGAAGTAAGTATGGGATCTTTTATAGCATTGAGCATCATTGGTTTTGTGAATTATAAGTACTGTTATGCACTAAAAATTGATGTCCATGTGAGAGTTAAAGCTACTTGATTAAATATTGGATAAGTTAAGAAGACGAGTAAGTAGTGATCTGCGATCTTTACTAATCAAGAGAGAAGACATGAGATGTCCTTTTCTCGAATAGTATAATGGACACAATTAAAATGCTCTGCAATGTCGATGAAATTTTAATAACAAGACAATAAGGATAATCATTTAAATAATTTCTTGAACTATGAATTTTATGTGTCTCTATCTAAGAAGCATATTCAAAATCAAAACTTAATCAAAATGACAGATCATTTTCATACATTCTTGAAAATGCATGGTAGAAATAATTGATCTCAAAGTGATTTCGTCCTATATATTATCAAAGAAAAGACATTCTCATGTCGTCTCTTTGAATTATTGAAAATTTCTAATTATTGACTACTAATCTTATTGTTAAAATAGACAAATATATACTTTTCGTCTAGACTAAATGTATTGTTTGATTATTTCTAATAAAATTTTAGGAAGAAGCTCAAGCATTTGCTGGTCTTGTTCAAGCAATGTATGAAACAAATACAGTTGCTATTGTACGCAAATGTTTTAGTGAACGAAGTGCACCAGAACTTGGATTTTTACGTCCACATATTGCACATGATCATATTGTAAATAGAAAATTTTTCTTTTCATTTCTTCAAAAAAAATGCAAATATTGATTATTTTAGTGTATGTATTATGTTAAATTACCATTTGCGGAAGATTTACGTGAATTTGAATTTGATAATCTTGATGTAACAAAACGAAATCAACCAAATGATGAACAATTAAAATGTATTGATAATTTAATAACAACAATGGATTTAACACATGCTGATCGAAGGTAAAGATTTTGATTAAAAATTACAAAGCAAAAAAAAAGACTAATTTTTGTTGTCTTTTTCATAGTGGTGAAGAAGCATTTCGACCAGATATTGTTTTTAATCCATATATTCAACGAATGTTTCAAGTTCGTTTTTCTTAATATTTTTGATCGTTGTTTTTTTTTTTACTTGTAATAGTAAATTAATTTTAGTCTATTGCTCGACGTGCTGTAACACCTGATGAACCATTATCTTTATCAAATACAATTATGGAAATGAATGATAGATTATTAAGATCAATAGCTGGTAAAAGTAAAAACATATTAAATATTATTCATGAAAAATTTGCTCTTCATGATACTGATCGTCGACAGAAAATTACTACTGGTGATGCACTTTTTGGCAATGTTGATAGGTAAGAAGAAAATAAGTTATTTCTAGAATGAAAGCAAAAAAAAATTTTGTTTTTAATAGTGCTGCGAAAAGAGCTCGTCTTGATGAAAATGAAAATATTGAAGAACCTACAACAGATTCAACAACAACAACAGCTGATTCAGCATCATTTGAAGCTCAAGCAGCAGCTAAAAAGAAAGCAGCACTACGAAATGTTGGTACATTAACACCTGTTGAAGATTTTAAACTTTTAATTGAACAAGGTTCACCATCATTTGCTGAAGTATGCAAACAAATGTGTAATATTATACTTGAACTTGTTCATAATTCTCATGGTGATGCATTATTTGAAAAAGCTTTTCAATGTTTACAATGTTTACGTGAAATATGTATTAATAAATTAGAACCAAAATTTTTTAATGATTTAGAATCATTACTTAAAAAACAAGCATCAATGATTGATGGACGAAAAGATTTTTGGCAAAAAATTATTGATGGTATGTTTTAGTTTTATTGAAAAACATTATTTACAAGCAATGTATGAATAATGAGAACAAATTCTTGAGAATGATTTTCTAATCTTTATCCTATGAACTTAATTTCTCACACGCACGCACTCTCTCTCCATCATAAGCGAGTTGAAAAAGTTTGGAAGTCAATGTTTTATATAGTGTGAGAGTGGTCCTTTTCCAAAGATCAGTTTTGTCTTTCCGGAAGAAAATATCTGAATAGAACACTGCTGAACAAAATAAATAGCACTACAATTTTTCTGATTGATTCTTTTTTCTTTTTGTTACAAAACATTAAAGTATAATTTTCTGAAACTTATAATAAAAAACGTATCATTAGTGAAATTTTTGACGCTAGTCTTCGAGTTTTCTTTCCCTCTTATGTGATCTTACGTGTATTCTACCCTATTTTGGACGCCAATATTTGAATCCAATTGAATTGTAATCGCTCGTTAAAAATCGAATTTCATCATTTATTCAGCAACTATGAAGAGTCAAATCAAAAGAGAACAATTAGTTTTAAAATTTTGAAAAAGTCTCTAATTTGATTAACACTTTGAAAATCTCATGAGACCTCTTCTATTAATTCATGCAATATTTTTTAGAAAAATTAAGTTTAATTACAAATGAAGAATGTGTTGAATCAAATGTGATACCAATTGAAGCAATAAAATTTCTTGAAGAAGAAATACCAGCTGAAACAATCAATAATGCAGCAACAACTAATGAACAAGATGGTGAAGATGAAGATCTCGTACGTCAAAAAAAAAAAAATTTTTTTTCATATAATTTTCTTTTTTTTTTTTTCATCTATTTATTTTAGTTCGATCTTATCTAGATCAAAACCTTCTAAAGAAACACACAAAAGAGATAATTACATTGTGCATATAGATATTGAATGCAATACAATGTGACAAAAACATAATGTTTGTAGATAAACTTTTTTTTTCTGACGCGTCTTTTGTTCCGTCCTTGTATTAGTTAATGTTAACATTCAAAAAATTAAATGTAGTCATCAATAGTCATAAATAAATAATTACATAGTTAGTGATATATCTTTTTGTATAGATAACTTTGAACCAAATTCACTTTTTGTTTTCATATAACTATGTACTGTTTGTGGTGGTCTTTGTTGTAGTTGTTCACTATTAAATGTTGTTTGATATATTGGTCCCATATCAGATTTATCATTTTCTGTTAATATAGCAACAAGACGATAAAATTGTAAAAACAAAATAATACCATTTTTACATGTAAAAAATAATGTTGAATAACTTCGTACATCAAATTTAAAAACAGCAACAAGTCGTAAAGCTAATTGTGTAGCTGAACAACTCATTAAATTTATTTCATATAAATACCATGCATCATTTTCAAATAAACGTTGCATTGGATATAAGAAAAACATACGTCGACGACGACTTTTTTTTAGAGCATAACGAAAACTATCTACATTTGCTAAACGAGTATTTTTATTTGCTGCTCTCATATTTGTAGCAAATTGTAATAATGACCATGATAAAACACTTAATGTAGCAATTAACATTCGTTGTGAGCGAAGAATTTGATCTTCATTAAATATTGTTAATAAATCAACAATATCCGATGCAATTGACATATAAACAAGAAGAAGTTGAGATAGATTTGAACGACTTGTTACACCTTTTGGTAATAACCAACGACCAACAATAATTAAAAGAAGAAGTGATAATTCAAGACCCATAATTTTTGTATCCAAATTTACATTTATACGAAGCTAATAAAGAGAAAGAAAAAATATTTTTTCTTAAAAGATATATATATATATGTGTGTTTTGCTGTACCGTTTTCATGAGAATATTATGTGGTAAAGTTTGACTTGGATCAAATTCATCATTGCCCATACGTAATATAAATTGATCAAAAACCATTGTATTTGTATTGTTATTATTTGTACTAAAAGCTAGACGTCGTTGAGCTACACGACGCATTTCAAGTAACCATAAACTTGGAATTGATGTAAGAATAAAAATTAGAAATGAAGGTGAAAACCTATTAATAAAAAAAACAACAAAAAAGAGGAATCAATGATATCATATATCATTGACAATTAAACTGTATTAATTAATAAATGATATTACCATTTTGGTTCAAGACCTTGTCGTTCAATAATTGTAACAACAAGTTCAATAAGTAAAAATATTGTTCCACATAAATTAAGGAAACACCAATAATCTTTAATATCATCATAAAGAAAGTAAGTTGCTATTAAATTATGTGCACAAAACCCAAGACGTACAATAGTTGCTTGTAAAATATTAAATGATTGACAAATGCGATGATGGATAGCAGCTAGCATTGTATAACTTTTTATATTTTCAAGTGAATGTCAACAATTATTATTCTTGTTTCAGTAGAAATAACATTTAAAATAGAAAGAGAGAAATTAGCGTTTCTATTCATCGTTTTTTTTTTTCTTCTTGACAAGTGTTAGCTGATTTGATGATGTTATCGTCATTGCTTGTGACAATTGACGGCAAAAAATTTCAAGAATACCATGCAAACAATTTAGATCTGGCACAATAAAACTTATTAATATATCTTTTATTTTTTACTATTAATGTTAAATCAACTAAATATAAAAAAAAAATCTTTAGAAATAGCCTATAGTACATAGCAACATTAAGTTCTTTTTAAAAGAATCATTCAACCCTTATGCGCATATATATATATATGTAATATAAATTAAGTTGACTTTTCTATTGTATGCTTATGCATAATGTTTTATATTGAAGAGATAATATGATTCATGTCATAATCCATTTTTTTTGAATAAAATATTAATTGGGAAGAAAAAAATGAAATTCATGATAAAATCCAGACATTGGCTTTTTTTATCGTTACATAGAATCAAATATAATTGTTATATTTATATCAAAGTATTAAAAAAAAAGCTTTTTAGTTGTTCGTTCAATAGCTATAAAAACATATTCTTACTAACCTTGTATCCTACAAACAACGTCGTACATATATTATATCTTTATTATTATTAAAAATTTCTATGATGCCGGTTGCTATAATTAACTGATTGTAATAGAATTCGATGTAACGTATGAAAACCTCATGCGAAAGATAAATTTATATTAATAATTAAAAAATGTAACTTTCACTTGGAGATATTAGAATTCAATTGATTAGATGATACTGAAATGTTTTATATTAATTTTTCAACACTAGCTTAATTCATCTTTCAATATTTATAAAACTATTATTGATGAATTGTAAAGATAGAAAAAAAAACTTATTTTATTCTGAGTTTATATGTATAAATTGACAACAATTAATTATCAAACAAAGCAATTAAGATATTATTCAAACCTATTTTACAAATATTGATTATTTGTATTAAATTGGCGTTCAGTGATATTTTTGTTTCTTATAAATCCACGTTAAGGACATTTCAGATTGATCAATAATTCCTTATATTTACCAGATAAACATCTGTTCTATATATCGATTCAATCAAGTGAAATAACTTCAAAAGTTATGTATCCATAATGATGAAATAGATTCAACAAACAAAATAATCATCATAATGTTAATGTAAAATTCTTCGAGCTCTAAACTAAATATTAAACAATCATGTTTAATCTCATATGAAAATTTTTATCATTTGAACTGCTCTTTTACTTTTTAAATCTTAATGAAAAACAAAAAATTCAAATATATCATTATATACATCATCATTATGTTAATACTAAATATCAAATGATATCCAATAGATTGAAATTATTGTAAATTAATTGATATTTTCGTTATAATACTTTTCTTTATATACAGAATAAATAGATTAAATGAAATTAGTTGAATTAAACATTTCAAAAACAATATAAGTAAATGTTCGAGTAATTTCATTTCAAATAACATGAAAGTTCGATAATTAGAATTGTTTCTATCGTAAATGAACGTATGGTTTCAATAAAAGAATTCAACGATGATCTTTCTGATATCATTGATGAAGATGATAAAAATGAAGATTATTTATTCGATAGAAATAAAATCATTAATCATAAATTTAATCAATCCAGATCATCATCATCATCATCATCATCTGATAAATACAATGTTAATAAACAAGAATGGGTTAATGATCTTTTAGCATTAAGTTCATTACTGTCCCATCATATAAATTCTAGTGATTTTATATCATCGGAAAGTCGTCTTATTCATTCGAAATTTCAACGTTTATTTCATTTTCTCATTACTGATGTTTATAATGAACCAACAACACATGCATTAGGTGATCATATTTCAAATTTAGCTGAAGTTGATGATGCTCTAATAAATTTAAATAGAAATGCAACACTAAAATTTCGAAATTATAAACAATTTCGTGAACAAGTTTGTTTGTTTTATTATCGAACAAAAAAATCTGTAATTTTTGTTTTTTTTTTGTTAGCGACTTGCATCTTCTAATGAACGACAAGATACATCTTTTACATCAGAACATATATATAATCGATGGACAAAAATGAGACAAACAATTTCTAGTGCAATTATAAGACGTGATCCATTGTTTCGATCAAAAAGTTCATTAAGATATTTTGTTCATTGGCTTCTTCATAGTTCATTTTTCAAATGGTTTATTAGTATAATCATTTGTTTAGATGTTGTATGTATTTATAATTGAATTTAATATTTTTCTTTTTTTTTTTACAATAAATTCTAATCGTAGGTTAGTGTTGCTATTACATCAGAATATAATTCATTAGATGATTCAAAATCTCTTGTTTATAATATAGCCGTATTTATAAATCGATCTATTCTATTTATATATTTATTTGAAATAATATTTAAATGGATTGGTAAATTTTTCTTTTCTTTTTATATTTTAAATGAAAATTAAATCATTATATTTATTCAAGAAAATTTTACAAATTTCTGGTATTCATCTGCAAATATTCTAGAATTTATTCTTACTATTATATCATTAAGTAATTTAATTAGTGAAATTTATATTGATACAAAAAATAATACAAGTTTAGAAATAAATAAAAAATTTCATAACAATAATCAAAAAGAAACTGATACTTTACAACGTATTAGGTATATTGAATGATGTTACTTTTGATACATTCATTATCATATTACATGTTTTATGATCAAATTTCAAGAGATAATTGTAACAAAGATTTTTCTTTTCAAATCATTTTCTATTCTGTTTCTTCGTTAACTTTCACTAATTAAACTATTTTGTATATTATTATTTATTTATATTTAGATCATATAGATCAATATTATCTTTATTACGAACATTACGTATGTTACGTATTTTACGTATATTAGAAATAGCATTTCGTTTTACACAAGTACGAATTGTTTTTCTTGCACTTAGCCGTTCTGTTAAACTTATTTTTCATGTTGTTCTTTTAACTATTGTACTTAATTATTTTTTTGCACTTATTGCACTTTATTTAACACAATTTGGATTGAATACAACATCAAATGAACATATGAAAAAAATTAATTCATTATTTGGAACAGGTTTGAATATAGAAACTTTGTATTTGATGTTTGTTTTTTTTATGTTATTTCTTTTAATAATAGTACCTCGAGCATTTATTACTGTCTTTCGTATATTTACAAAAGATGAATGGTATGAAATTAAAATGGAAATGTATTCTTTACAAATTAGACAATTTATCATTGATTTATATGTCATTAGTTGGTTGTTCTTTGGTGGTTATGTGCTTAATCCATTGCTTATTGGAGCAATGGTAAGTTTTGTTTTCTTTAAAATGTTAACATAATCAAGTAAATAAAGTTTCTGGAATAGAATGATAGATATTTTAAAATAATATTTTTCTATGGCAATCAAATATTTGTTGAATTTCGATCAAGTAGTGAAAAAACTTCATACTCTACATATATGTTTAACGTTATCTTTAAGAATCTTTTAACTATTTAAGCCTATTATTGATGTGTACTACGAACATATTATATTAAATTCATTATATATCAGTCTATCTAGTAATAAAGACCAAATACACTTCATCATACTTCAGCATTAGTGAAGTATGATGAAGTGTATTTAGTCTTTATTGCCAGATAGACTGATATAAAATGAATTCAAAATAATATGCTCATGACACATATTATTAGTAGACTTGTATTGACTAAGAGGTTCTAGATAATAGCTTTGACATACTCTTGGAGTACGGAGTTTCCACTTCTTTCATTTTTATCAATAAATCCTATAGAAATGGAAAAAATTCATGTCAAACTTATTATTTTTTTAATCAATATCTTCGAATAATAATTATTATTGAAAATGATTATCTAAAATTCTATTAAAAATTACAGATTTTTTCTGAATTTAATAGTATTCATAATTTTTTAACATTGAATATTTATCTATTTAATTTAGGTAGGTACATTTGATGAAACTCGAAAAGAATTAACTTCACATATAAAACAAATAATATCTAAAACTCGTTTATCACTTAATGAAATAATTGTAACTAACAGTCCATCATCAACATCATCATTGTCTTCATTACTTATTGATATTAATCCTATTGACAATGATAATGATAGATTTAATGAATGGCTTCGTATTACTTCAGATGAAATTCGTTTTCTTGGTAGAAAAAAAAAAACAAAACTAAATATTCGAAAATAATGTTTTTTTTGTTTTTGTTTATAATTTAGTTCAAGATCGAATTGAGACTCAATGGCCAATTTATACAGCATTTTATTATCTTCAATTACTTGAAATCTATTTTGAAAATATTGCTGAACGACAACTATTATTCGATTTTATTTCAATTTATTTACTAACATTACATGATAAAGAAACAAAACCAATTAATCCACCTATACTTTCATCATCATCATCATCATCATCCGATGATGACAATTGATATTTAATTTTTAAAATATAATTAGTATTACTGTAAAAACTAACTACTGATAATGATTGATGGATGAAGAAAACATATGCTTGTGAGACAGATGTCTGAAGGACAGAACAGCAGTCAATATATATTTTTCTTTATTTGTATCTTTTTTTAGTTTCTTTTTTGTTTTTTTCTCCTTAGAGAATTGGATTGTTGCTAAAATGTTTTTAATTTGTGTGCAATAAACATCTAATAGATGTTAGTTTGACGTATATATGAAAATGTTTTCTTTTTTTCTTTTTTCTTGTGTCATTTATTTCGAAGCTAATAATGTATTTTTCTTACTATCCGTATCCATTGATATTTGATCATTTATTTTAAAAATTGTCGTTTGAATAACAAATGGTCGTGCATAATCCATACGAATAAGTAGATATTCTAAGAAATAAAATAAAATCTTATGAGAAATATTGAAAGTTTCTTTGTCTTCTTTTATTTTTTTCTTTACGAAAAACAAATAAAAATTCTTCCATATACATTAATAAGATAAAAATCGTAATAGTTAACATCAATTCTTGACTTTTATATTCAGTAAAAAGTTGATATAGTGGAGAAATTTCTTTAATTTCACATAATTCATAATAAGTTTTATCAAATATTTGTGACATTCAACATGAAATAATCAATAAAATAGAATATAAAAGAGCGCGTTTAGTATATAAATCTCTTTTCGTTATGCACCGCCGGCAAGTGTGGTACATATTCAATTTGTCAAATGTACTACATTAGCCCGGTGTTAACGAAAAAAGTTTTATCATCAAGACAAAGATCATAAAATGAGTAACAGAAAGAAAAAAAAAACTAATTGTTCTTCTATTTTATTCTTTTTAAACGTATATTTAACATTGATTTTAACTTAAAAAAAAATATGAATAAGGAATACTGATTCTTGTACGCAAAAAAAGAACAACGATGATTCGTAGAACATACAAGAAAATCACACTGTCACGTCTTTTTTTCTTTACCAATCATTATTCATCATTTGACCTCTACTTTGAATTTTCATTCTACAAATATAAAATTGATTCAAAGAACGAAAATATTATTTCAATAATCAGAATTTTCTTTTTTTTTTCTTAAAACAAGATTTTTTTTTAAACAACCAATCAAAAATGTTTTTTCAACTATTTCTAGATCTGTACTACAATTCTTCATACTATCAATATTATTGAGTACACTTCTATTATGTCGTTAAATTCATCATCTGATGATGATAATGATGAAAATTGTCTTGATCAAAATAATACTGAAATTCTTACGATACAAAAATCTTTAATTTATAAACATCCATTATTTCCTGTACTTACTCATGTACTTGAACAATGTGAACAAGAAACACGTAATCCATCACTTTTAACAATAAAAGATGATTGTCAAACACCACCATTATCATCATCATCATCATTTGAAAATAATTTAAAAATATTTTTATCAAAAAATAATGATATATTAACAATAACTCGAGATATTAATGATTCATCATCAATGATTGATCAATTATATATTGATGCTATGCAAGTACTTCGTATTCATTTACTTGAATTAGAAAAACTTAATGAATTATGTGAAGATTTTTGTCAACGTTATATTGCTTGTCTTAAAGTTAAATTAAATCCAAATAATATTTTTAGTGATGATGAAGAAGATGTTAATGATGATAATGAATGTGAAGATTTCGAATCAAATAATGATGAAGATTTTGAATCAATAGAAGAAAATGATGATGATAATTTTATGTTTAATCAACAACAATTCAATAATAAACATTTGTTAAAAGTACAATCTTACAAGTAAGATTAGTATTAAACAATTGAAATTAATATTTTTAATCTTGATTGAATATCAGAATTACATCTAATTGTTGTTTAAATAATTGATACTTGATTTAAAAGTTATACAAATATTCATAGAAATATGATAGTTTTATATGAGATCTCTCGCTATGTATATTTCTATGATTAATTAAAATATTAATTTATTACAAAGTTATTAGTTAACATAGTTGTATGATGATTTCAAAATTTATTAGTCGTCTCTAGAATATAAATTAATTCTTTGAAATTCAATTAAATCATTATATTAACATATTTTCGAATAACTGTAGAATTCTTGATAGTGTAGTTTCAAATAATATTAAAAATTTGTAATTATTCTTTTATTAAAGTTTTTAATCAATAATATTCGATCTAACAGTGATGAGATAAAATATTAATCTCATTTCTTTTCTGATAGACACGTTTTGTAAGAAATATAAGAAATAGTTTTCATTCCAACATGCGTTTTTAAAAACATATAGAAATTAATAATCGTTTTATTTTATATTTTCATTTCGAAATATCTCTAGCGATTAAATTAAACAGATCAACATTCATATCATTATTTTATTTTGTTCTATGTCAATAGATAATAGTTGTAAAAAATATAAAACAACACAATCATATTGTCATAGTTTCTTAGTAAAATTGTATTTATAACACTTGATATCTTATCTATGTATAGTATCAAATTGATTCAATAATATGTATAATTTTCGAAAAGTTTGTTAGTAGATAATTTTGATGTATATTACGTACTTCTTTACCAAGAATAAGATTAAGTATCAAGAGTTTCCTTCTTGACATAAAATATAGAGATTATGATTAAAATAAAGTTATATAGATATATAAAATAGTATATACAAGAGTAGACGTTTATAATACACATAAAATTTTCAAACGAAACAAAAAAAATGTTGACATAAAGTCTGAGCTTATAAATACATTTATTTGTTGATAAATCATTATATACTTATTAAATCCAATTCTCTTATTCATGTTATATGTTTGACATACTATCAATAGTTCATGATTTTAACGGTATTGAACTAGTGTGATACATTATCAAACAGAAAATTAAAAGAAAAGTATTTAAAGTCACATCACATGAACTATACAATGATTTGTCAATAAATATCTTTTAAAAAAATATATTAAACTAAAAGAACTCAAACGATATGTCAACACTTTGTATTTTTATTTGTACTACAAGCGTCTACTTTTATAGTATTCATATATATTTGTATAGCTTTGTTTGAATCGTAATTTCGATATTTTATATCAAAAAGAAAATCATTCATAATTATTTTATTATTATTAATTTATCAAAATCTTAAAATATTACTGAATGACTATAGTTCACAAAAAAAACCTAATCTAACATAAATAAATAGATAAAACTTTTGGATTCAAAGAGTTGAATTCTGTATAGTGCTTGATTTGTTCCAATAGACACACAATTTTCGAAAACAAATAGTTGTATTATGAAAATTAATTCGATAATAAATTGAAATTGCTTTTAACCTCTGAAAAGTAACTTTGTTTTTTTCTTAGTAAACAAACAGTACCAACGAATGATATAAATTCAATATATAATCAACATACAACACAATTTAATGGTCAAACACCATTTTCTCAAATAATTGCTAGTGGTTCTTCATCAATTGTCAACTCATCATCATCAATTTTATTCGATTCAACTTGTACAAAACAACGAAAATCATCAACAATTGTTTCATCATCATCATCAAAACGTAGTATTCTACCAAAAAGTGCCACATCAATTATGCGTAGTTGGTTATTTCAACATATCGTAAATGAAAAATAAAATTTTGTTTTTTTTTTATTAATTTTTGTTTTTATATAAAAGGCTCATCCATATCCAAGTGAAGATGAAAAACGAGCTATATCAAATAAAACAAATCTATCATTATTACAAGTTAACAATTGGTTTATAAATGCACGTCGTCGTATATTACAACCAATGCTTGAAACATCAAATCCTAATTTAATAATAAATAAAAAGAAAAAACGATGTGATACAATATTAGATGATAATCATCATCAACATAGACATAGTCGACAAATGTCATATATCAATCGTTATTGGCCATCGAATTTAATTCAATTCGATATGAATAAAAAATAAAATTTTAAGATATTTAAGTATTAATTACATCTCTCTTTTTGCGCTTCTTTTAATACATTGGTTCTTTTTTTTTTTTTTGTCTGCATAAATTTTGAATCTGAAATGAAAATCTCATTTTATATGTTCTTTTCTTTTTGTAAAAAATTGTGTATTGCATAATTTCTTTTTTTATTATTATTGTGTTTAATATGATAAACTTTTGGGTGTTTTTTTTATCTGTTTGGATTAACGGTGCTATGGAGTAGAGTTTTTTTTTTTTTTTGTTTTTATTATTTCAATGAAAATATACATTTTTGCAATGCAAATTTTAATGTCAAAATGAAATACTTTTTATTCAATGAATGATAAAAAAATCGTTTCGAAGTTTCTTCGTTGATGAGCAAAAACTATGATGTTTCTATACTATATCTATATCTCAGACTCAAATAGATCAAATTCTGTATTGAAAATTTCAATGAAATTAGTCGATTTTTCTTTCTGTTTTATTCAATTAAAATGATCCTAGTGCATTTTAAAAATCGAACTTTGATAGAACAAAATATACAATGGCTTTTTTCAGTTAAATCACTCGCTTCATTTTATAATGCCCGATTAGACTATCGGACAAGTAATGCAATATATTGATCAAATGACTGAATATCAAAGTTAACTTTCTTTTCGTAGATGTTTCATCGATTTCCAAAGGCGGCATTAATGAAAACTTTGCTGCGTTAACTCAATAAGTTTCCTCTGCATTGATACTTTTCTTCTACTTTATTTATTCCAATAATGTAATCTTAAAACTAAACAAAAATTGTCTAATTTGAAATAGACAATAGGAATCGATTGTCAACTATAATATCTTAATGAAATAATACCTGAAAGTAATCAATTTTGAAGCTCATTATTAAGATCTAATGATTTTATAATGAAATAGTCTGTCTATCTCTGTAGCTACTGAATTTCATATACTCGTGCACAATTATCTGATTCATCCACATACTAATCAATAAGAAACATATTGAATTGTTTTTTTAGTATATTACTAGAAGGATTAAAACACGCTTTCTTTCTTGCGGTTATCAATAGTACAGTTCTCACCAACGACATCTACACGAAACTCTTGCAGCAATAGTTAAATCCAAAATATTTGTTTTTACATGACACAGTCAAGAATTGAAAAAGAAGCATAATTATCATATGCTCATCGATATATTCTTATCGCTTCGTCAACAACCCCTTCGGTAAAACTTATAGAGAGTAGCACAAGTAAAAGGTTCTCAGTCTAAACCACATGTTTATAAAAAAAGAAAACCTTGTCCGTATTGAGAAGTATCTCGTTCGATTGTAAACTAAACTTAGAATTATTTTTTTTTCTAATATTTAAATTATTACAAAGAACTCATTACTTCGAAACTATGAATCAAGTGCATAACTGTAGCAGAATCTGCTAACAAAGCACATGAATCGTCCAGGATTTGACAGTTTACCATCTATTTCATATTTGTTCTTCGAATACCAAATCATTGTCTTTCCTTTGTACCACATTTTTCACAATAACCACATTCAGTACTTGTAGAACCTCTTTCCAGATGTATTTTAACTTGAACTATTTCTATTGGTACATGATTTATCCATAAAAAAAAGTAAATTTTCTTTAATAGTTATTCGATCCGTCCGATTGAACTTAACTTTTATTTTATCTATAAATGGATTATATTGTGGTTTCGGACGAGGAAGATGATGAAATAGATAATCTTGAACTTCTTAATGCTATCGAACAATTTGAAAAAAATCAAAGGTAATAAATTTAATTTATTTGTATTCTATTAATAATTAATTTATTTTTTTAGTTCAATTATTGAAAGTAATGAAAATGATGAATTAATCGCTATTGAATTAGAAATATCGGAAATCGATGTAGAAATAAATCGTCTTCGTCATAAACGTTGTCAATTAGTTGAACGACAAAAAAAATTAAAAGATTCTATGAAACAAAATCAACAATCAACATTAAATACTAATTTAGTTGAACAATGGCAACGGACAGGTTCATAAAAATAACAAAGTTAATATTTGAATTTTCTTATCTATTATCAATTTTTTTTTAGATTTTTCATGGAGTTCAACTGTAGATAAAATTCGTACAGAAATTTTTAAAATAAATTCATTTCGACAATGGCAACTTGAAACTATTAATGTTACATTATCTGGTCATGATTGTATATTAATCATGCCAACTGGTGGTGGAAAATCATTATGTTATCAATTGCCAGCTGTCGTCTCTGATGGTATAAATAAAAAAAAAAAAAGAAAGTTTTCTTATTTTTAAAATATTAAATTTTGCATAGGTATAACAATTGTTGTATCACCATTACTATCTCTTGTTGAAGATCAAATATATGCATTACGAAATTTAAATATTGATGCACGTTCATTAAATACATCAACACCACGTAATGAACAAACAGAAATTATGCGTATACTTGATGGAAAAAATATAACAGATTCAACATTAAAAATTCTTTACTTAACACCAGGTATATGGAAAAAAAAATGAAGGTTATCATCTTCTCTCAAGAATCGATTTTCGTTCAAATACATTCAAATTGATTATGTTGAGATTACATTAGAATTTTAGCTATATATCAGAAGATTTTCGTGAAATATTCAACAAATAAAAGTCTAACATAGTTTATTAGACAACGTAAAATTCTTACTTTTTTGACGAGAGAGAATTTATTGTACTTATAAAGGTACTTTTTTTTCATTATAATAAAAAAGTTTAATAGACTCAGTGAAATACTGCCGATCAAAAACAACATAAACATAGAAATTGATGGCAATGTTAGTAACAAATGAAGTGCCAAATAAAAAAAAAATCTTATCATTTACGAAAGATCAAATCTCGACTTATGCATTTATCTCGATTTTCATGTTTTTTGACGAAACTTAACTTTCGTTTTTTATTTCTCTAGAAAAAATTGCTAAAAGTAAAACAATAATGTCAAAATTACAAAAACTTTATGAAACAAAAAGATTTGCAAGATTAATTGTTGATGAAGTTCATTGTGTTTCACAATTTGGACATGATTTTCGACCAGGTTTAGTCATTAGAAAAAAAAAAAAACAATTTTATTAAATGAAATAAGAAGAACCATACATTATATTGTTTTTTCTTAGATTATAAATATTTATCAATATTTAAACGACAATTTCCAAATGTATCAATATTAGGTTTAACAGCAACAGCAACAATAAAAGTTATAATTGATGTACGACAAATACTTAAAATTCCACATTGTATTTTGTTTCGAGCACCATTTAATCGAAAAAATCTTTTCTATGAAGTATTACATAAATCAGATGTTGGAAAAGATGCTCTTACTGATCTTGTACATTGTATTCAAAATCGATTTGATAAAAAATCAGGTAAATATTTAAGAAAATATTTCAAAGTTTATTACATCATTTTTTTAAAAAAAAAGGTATTGTTTATTGTTTATCACAAAAAGATGCAGAAGATGTTTGTTTTGAATTACAAAGAAATTGTAAGTATAAAAATGATTTTGAAATGGAATTTATTCGAATGTAATATTCTGTGTATCTAAGAAATTTATTGATTAAAATTCATTGAATTAATGTAGAAAAAAAAATTAGAGAAATTGATCGAGATCTTATTTTGTATTTTAATATTGTAAAAAGATTAGTTTGGAAAACTTCAGCAATGTAATTTATAATTTTTATGTGTCTACGTTTCTTTTTTTTTGTTGAAGAATTGTGATGATTTTTTTTTTATACATCAGACAAAAGCTTGGAAAAGATATTTGGTTTGTTCTATAGCCCATAAATATGCACGAGATTCTAGCTCTATTAATCAAGTTTTGCAAACAAGAAGAAAACATAACTATGAACTGATATTAAAAAAAAGGAATTTCTTTGTCACTTTACTGTAATAGCCCAATTTTCGACATTTTAAAGTACTAACATAAATAGAAAAATTTATGATCAATTTTAAGTAATTCTTTAATGATATTAATCATGAGAAAATACCTTTATTTGATATGTATTCAACTTAATTCTTGTAGAATTACAGATACTATTGAAGTAGAAACTGTTGTCTCCCATTTAATATTAAAGTTTACCATAAATTGGTTTTCATCATAGCAAGTTTTCTACTACGATTTGTATTGCTTACATTTAGCAGCAATAAATAGAAGATTTCTATTGAAATAATGATGCGTCTGACATGATAGAAGACTCTTCCTAATTGATTGAGTTTTCACAAAATTAGACATACAAAAAAATTTGTCTGATTTTCAACGGTTTTAAGCTGAAAAATCTTAAAAGATTAAGGACAACAAGATTTCTAACTTTCAAATCACTAAATTCGTTTTGATCTTTTGAATGACATAATCGAAGATTCGTAGTCTTCTATTACGGGAAGGGATTTATCATTTGTGAAACCTGAATATCATGTTTAAATAGATTATAAAGAACATTTTTTTTTTATTCTCCATGAAATATAATAATACATTTCATATGTTTTCAAAAATTTGAATTGTTTCAATTGTTCTAGCCATTAAGGCTGGTTGTTATCATGCTGGACTCTCAGCTCTTTCTCGTACTCAAGTTCATGAAAAATGGCTTAAAAATCAAGTTCATGTTATATGTGCAACAATAGCTTTCGGTTAGTTTTCTAAATATCTATTCTATTTATTTATATATAAAATTTCTAGGAATGGGTATTGATAAACCTGATGTACGTTTTGTTATTCATCATTCATTAAGTAAATCTATTGAAAACTTTTATCAAGAAAGTGGTCGAGCTGGTCGTGATGATCAACAATCATATTGTATTCTTTTCTTTCGGTAAAATTAATTAAATTATTTCTAAAAACTTTCTCTATGTATATATATATATATTTGTTTTCTAAATAGATTTGGTGATGTATTTCGTTTAGCACCAATGGCATTTTCAGATAAATCAGGTAATGGTCTTACAAATCTTTATTCAATGATATCATATTGTTTAAATGAATCTGAATGTCGTCGAAAATTAATTGCTAAACATTTTGATGAAGTATGGTTATCAAATGATTGTAATGAAATGTGTGATGTATGTACACGACCATCAACATATATAACAAAAAAAAATTGTCGTCAAGAAGCATCAATTATAATTGATTATTTAGAAAATAATAAAAAACAACGTTTAACACCATTAAAATTAATTGAACAATTAACAATAAAAACAATGATAAAAATTGATATTCAACGACTTATTTTACAATTAATTATTGATCAATATTTAAAAGAAGATTTTCATTTTACACCATATAACACTGTTTGTTATGTGATACCAGGACCAAAAGCTTCATATGTTTATGATAATGATTGTGAAATTATGTTAGATATGATGGAAAGTACAAAAAAACGATCATCAAATACAATAAAAAATGATGAAAAAAAAATTATTAAAAAGACCTCTATAACAACATTAACACATCCCGGTAGGATCAATTTTTCATATATGAAAGATTTTCTTTGATAATTCTGATTAAAAGTTCCGATTATTAAATTACAAGAATGAATATTTAACATTGAATAGACTAAAGTATTTCGAATGTATTATGAATGATAACTTGTATAAATAACATTCCTTCGTTTAGAATTATACAGAGTAGGCCTATTAAGTTTATTTACACACAATCTTAAAACAAAAAAAGAATTTCCATGTTTTTGTTCATTTTTGAAAATCGGAGCTTTTAATCAGAATTATTTTTATCCTGATTTTCATATTTTCTAGAGCCACGACCTAAATTACGATGGGCTACTAATATAGAACCAAGACTTAAACTTAGTTCCGGAAAAAAACGAACATTACAATATGATGATGATGATGATAAAGATAATATGGAACAAACTGAAAATACTCCATTATCAAAACGACAATCTCCTTTAATAAATAATGATAATGAACCAATAATATCTAATCAACAATCCGTAATTGACGATGAAGAACTTGATTTCTTATAAACTAATTCTATTGATGTTGTTCTTATGTTTTTTTTTTATATAAGTATATTCTGTTTATATTCAAGAATGTCAGATAAATATGAGTTTAATTCTATTGAAAAAAAAAAGTAAACGTAAATTTTCGATTTTCAGATGCCTATAGCAATGAACTTTGATTTATTAACAAATAATAATCATCAAGATCATTCTGAACATATAAACGAATGTGAAACAAATCTTGAAATAAAATTATCAAAATCACCATTATCAAATGGTACAAATCGACAATCAACATCATTTAATGTACCACCACCACCACCACCACCACCACTTGTCAAACCACGTATACGTTCAATAGTAAATCGTACAACACATCATATCGATTTAGAACAATTAAGTCGTTGTTCATCAACATATCAAATTAATTTGCCTAAGGTTGACAATGAAAAATGGTCAGCAATAGCTTCATCAAATGAATATATATTAGTTGGTGGTGGTAGTTCAAGTACATTGCGTCTTTTTGATTTACAAGGAAAACAAATACGTCTTATTGATATAAAAACATTTGCTGCATTTGATATAGCATGGTCAAATGTTTTAAATGCTTTTTTAATTGCTGGTTATGATCGTTTACAAATGTATAATGTGGAAAAAGATCAATTAACACATATTGAAAATATCAATTTAGTTAATAAAAAAGATAATTATTTTTGGTCAATTGCTTGTCATGAGTTAGTAATTTTTTTTACAATGCGTTTTTATTGAGGAGCTGTTTTTTTCGAATAACTAGCTAATCGCTTCTGATTAGAGTCTATGTACACCATGTAGGCTCTGAATGAGATATGAATACTGTATAAAGAATTTTGAAGCCTTAGCTTGTTGCTGCTGAGACGCTGCATTTTTACAATATTTTTCTAATACAATGTCGTAGCCCTCTCCATCAGGAATATTTGGAAAAAAGGTTGTCGAATTTCGATTCAAGTCTTTAGCCAGATATTAGTATTTGAGAGAACAAGCTCTTATGAAAATTTTATATCTTCTTATTGTTCTTCCCTAAGATACAGGTATGATAAAAGCGTGTCTTTTAAGCTGTTTATATATCAAGATAGAAACAGTTAAAAGATCTAAAACTTTCATAATAGTCTATTCTCTCGAATGTCTGTTTCTGTTGTGCAAAGTTTCGAGTCGAAAATCATTTTTCCAAGTATTCCCGAGGGAAAGACTACGGTATCATACTAAAAAATATCATAAAATCGTAGTGTCTCAGCAGAGAGAAGCTAAACGCCCGAATGCTTTTCAAGGTATTGATACCTCTTTGAAACTTACATGATGTACATAGTCTCGAATCAATGGCAATCGACCAATTGAAAGACTTCGTTCCTTATAGTTCACAACTATTTTAAATCATTTCTATTTTCATTTTAGTAATGATATATTTATTGTTTTATCCGATGGTCTTGAATCTGTATGGCGCTTATCATTGCCAAGTTTTAAACGTATTCAAACATTATCCGGTAGTGAAATACGTGAATGTAATTCAGATGATCGAATATCATGTATACGTACAAATGGTTATTTGATTGGTATGACATTAAGACAACGTACTACATATCAATGGCGTGTTGATTTATTTGATTATGTTACAATGATACGTACACATCGTGGCTTAACAATTGGATATGGTATTGGTGCATTTAATTTTGTTGAACGTTGTATGTTAGCACCTGTTGATGATCATCAGTGGCTTATTATAGGTGGATGTGAAGTTACACCAAATGCATTAACATTAATGGATGATCGAACAGGTGAAATAAAACAAGTTGAACGACAATATGATCGACAAGAAGAATTTATAACAAATATTTGTATTAGTGAAAATAGTAAACAACAACAGATAATTAGTATGATTATTATAGATAATCAAAGTGGTCAACGTCAGATGCATGTTATGCAACAATAAGATTAAGATTATTATTATTATTTCCATTTTTTTTTTGTTTTGTTTTAAATATCGTTTTATTTCGTTTATAAATAGACAGATATAAAAGAAAAAAAAAATTATTTTCTGTTATACATTTCGAAAAGTTTGGTACGTTTTCATCAACATATTGTAATGAGTAGCATTTTAAGAAGAAAAATATATATACAACTTTGTATGAAAGAAAGTTATTGCAATAATAGAAATAAGGATATAAAATACAATAGTTCATAAAATAGTGACAAAAAAATATTATTTTAATAATTTACTAATCTTATTCAAATTTTCATCTAATGGCAAAAGAAATTTTTTCAAATTGTTTTATTGAATCAAGAATTCGATGATTTTGAAAAATAAGGTTTTTTTCATTTCGTGCAGACTTATAATGTTGTCAAGTTATTTCATCGTAGCCTTGTTAAACGCAAATTCATCGATCACTATGTATAAGTTTGAATTGCAAGTAACAATATTTGCATTCAGACAGTAATGACAATCCTCCAATACTGATGGATGTATGTGAATGTACGGATACAGAAGCCCGATCTCTACACCTATTTTCGCTAATCCAAAGCATTTTTCTGGCCTTTCTACTGATGTTAACGTTCGTTTTAAAAATAGTATTACTGTTTTGCTTATTTCTTTCTCTACAAGGCAAGATTTCTTTAGTAAAAGTCTTTAAATTATTCAGAAAAAAATGCTTTGATGAAACAAGAAGATACCACATCTATAAATACTATCCTATTGGACTACAGAGTGAATCACCATAATTATTTATTTCGTTATGCATCGATGGGTGTCATGTATATACGCCTGTATATACATATACAATTTTATTGTAAATCATGAGTGATAAGGAGCCTCAAGAAGGTTTAAGTGCTGAACGTCGTACTGAATATGAAGAAGCATTTATATTATTTGATAAAGATTGTGATGGTTTATTGGATTCTTCTGAATTACCATTACTTTTACGTAGTCTTGGTCAATCAGTAACTGAAGTAGAAATAGCAAGTGTCCTTCAACAAGCTAGTCTTGATCCACGTGGTAAATTTACATCATTAGATTTTTTAAATTTAATGGAACAACGAGCAAGTACCATTAATAATGACACATTTGAAAATGAACAAGATGTACGTGATGCATTTCGTATGGTACTTGATCCAAAAGGAACAGGTACAGTAGCAGCAGATGATATTATGAATCTTTTACAAGTTTTTGGTGAAGGTGGACGTTTATCACAACAGCAAATATGGGAATTATTAGGTACAGCTGATAGAGATAATACAGGACGAATTAATTATGAAGAATTTATTAAAGCTATGACTTCTAATTAAAATTATTCAAAATTTTGTTACAAGAAAAGTTTGAAATAAAATTACATTGAATTTTGCTGTCTTACTCGTTTAAATAGATTATTATGGTTAATAGAATTATTGAATATTAAAATATGAAATAGAGTTTAGATGAATATTCAATCGAATGTTTATTAGTCTTTTGATCTAATTAATTTTATTGCAAATCTATATATATATATATATATCATATGCAAAAACTTTTGGTTTTATCTGTAATATATTTTTTAAAGATTCAAGTACAATATACTTTTCTGCATTAACAAAATTCTTTTTCTTTTTATGTCTTTTCACAGTTCAATTTGTATCACGACCAATATCTTCATACCAAATCGAATGATTTTTCTTAATATAATTTTCAAGAAGTTCTTGACATTCTTTCGAATTCAGTACATCAATATGTACATGATTTTCTTTAAGTAAAGCTTCATCACCATGAAATGTTTTATTTTCACCAATTACTACCCGTGGAATACCATAAAGACGAATAGCACCTGAACACATTGCACATGGGGATAGTGTTGTATATAGTGTACATTCTTTATAAAATGCTGCTGTTTGTCGTCCACCTGATTCAAGACAATCCATTTCAGCATGTAAAATAACTGAATTACGTTGAATACGACGATTATGTCCACGAGCTACTACTTGATTATCTCGAACAAGAACACATCCAATTGGTATACCACCTTCGGCTAGACCAGCACGAGCTTCAGCTATAGCTTCAGCCATAAATGGTACATGAATCATAGGTGGTACATGAGCCATTGAAATAGTTCCTTCACGTGATCCACGACGATGGGTAGCATTTGAATTAGCACGAGAATTTTTACGTGTTAGAATAAGGGCTTGTTCATCAAGAGGCAATGAACCAGCAAAGATTGAAGCCATTGTTTTTAATATAAAGAAATAAAATGAATGCCGACTGAAATAACATACGAAGGTTACTTTTATCTATAGATAAAAAAGAAAGATAGTCACGTGGCACACTCACTTCATCTAATAGATAATTTTATTTGTTATCTTCTATACAAAATTTGTGCAACAAGACTTTTTAAATGGTACTCAACGGACATATATTGTTAGCATTTAACTAAGAGATGAACATAAAAGTCAGAAATTTTTTCTCGTTGAAAAAGAAAAGAAAACTATCTCATCTTTTCTGATCTATAATGGTTTTAATTTCAATCAATCAAATATATGTAGACATAAAATATAATGATTTCCGATAGAGTAGATTACTGATTATGTCTCTTTCGTTCAATTCAATTAAATAAACAAAGACGTTCATAGTTTCGATTAGTATGTGTTTAAAACAAAAAAAAAAGCTCTACATTACACGATCATTTCTCTTTCACGCAATTATTTTTCTTCTTTTTATCGACATTTAACAGAATGAGTTATTCTAGATGATTGCAAACAAATTATAAAATTGCAGTAGCTCTAGACGATTTTTATTCATACTTAAATATTTGTTATTCTACAGAACAATTGTTATTTCGTTTCTATTAAAATCACATAATTATCCATATTTTATATTTGACGAACAAAATTGTCTTATGATTTTTAAATTATATTCATTGACATCCTGAAGAAATACTTTCTATGTTTTATAGTTATGTTTTAAATGTAAAAGAAAAGTAATGGAAAAATGAAATGGATGAAAACAATTCTTTTTATTATTTACTTTGTTCGATTGCTGCCTTGAGAATGCAGCATACAAAAAGAGAGAAAGAATGTGTGTGTGTGTGTATGTCTATGAAAGTGTCGCAATCAAATGGCATGTGTCATTTATTATTTTGAGAGAGTTAAATACATACGTACATTTCTATCATGAATGGTAAGATAGTAACAACTAAATGTATAATACACAACAAAAAAAATATGACGTATGTATTGTTATAGAAGGAGCGGCTCTTCGAGTGCTTTCATTTCTTAATGATTCAAGTCAACGTCATGTGGCTTCTTTAGTTAATGAAAAACGAAAAGTAACTGTGATTGGAGAAGAACATGAACCAGATGAAGTTGTATGTATTTAATTTTTGATTATATCTTTGAAATTTTCTGTTTTTTCTTTGTTTGCCTTCCAACCTAATCAATTTAAGGAAGAAGAAGAACCTTCACCAACTCTTGTCGATCCAGACGCAGCTCCTCTTACTCCAGACAAAATCAAGGTTAAAAAAAAAAGAAGAAACAGAGAGATCATTAATTGATAAAAAGAAATAATATTTTTTTTTAGGAGTTTTTTAAAACAATTGAAGAAGGTTCGCTCGACAGACTAGATGAACTCTTTGATACAACGGCAAATGCCGATCCTAATATGACACAAGTGAGAAAAGAAAATCATATCGAATTTATTTTTAGAAATTGACTCATGTAAATACATTTTATCATAGTATACTGAATCTCTTTTAATGGCTGCTATTCGTGCCAAACGATATAAAGTTGCTGAATATCTAATTGATCAATTAGGAACAAATGTTAATCATACAATTAATCTTCTTGAATTTCGTCCACAGACAAAAATTCCTGTTCGAGAACATACAATATCATGTCGTGATTTAGCTTATGATAAAGGTATGATGGATCTTGTTGATTTAATTGATATAGTCAGCGATGAAGTAAAGCCAAATATAAAACGATATTTGCAACGACGTTTAAAAACACGTCTTGATCAAATTCATCAATCTTATCTAAAACGTATGAAAGAACGTAATAATCGTTTAATAATTCAATTACAAGAAAAAGAACCTAAAATATTAGAAGATGATGAACAAGAAAAAGAAAATGAAGAACCATTAAGTGCAAATATTATTGATGATATTAATCTATTTTTACCAGCACCTCCACCACCACCACCACCAGTTGTTCATCGTTCATATAAATCACATATTGAAGCAACAATTCGAAGTATTGAATCGACAAATGATAAATCAATTGATGAATCAGGAAAAAAATTCTTTCGATTTTCTGATTATACTCTTCATTATCGTCTTGTTGAAACAGGAAATAAGAATCAACAAAAAAAAGAACGATCTAGACCGAAAACAGCAATATTTTCGCTTCCAATTATTCCGCTAACTTCTACACGAACATTACCACAATCACTATCAAGACCAACGACGACAGCAACTAATATTAATCGTCGCTCAGTTAGTGAAGTAAGTGCACGAATACCAATAAGGGAAACACGGACATCCATATGCCGATCAGCTCGACTTATAGCCACACCACGTGTTGCTCCTACAGTAACTTCTGAAAGTAAACCGGAAATAAGGCCTAAAACAACCACTACAATCCATACTACTCAACGATTATTACCAAAACGAACTCCTCAAATCAAAACAAATTATAGTTACATTCCTCAACTTCAAAATGCTGTGTACAATGATCCACACCGTTTTATGCCTGTAACATTAAAAACAACTGCTACTGGTTTACTATCTGATACTCGACTAATTCGAGATTAAATGTGTTTTTTTTTGTTTCGAAATAAGACATGTTTGTTCGACATTTCACTCTTGTAAATACTCAATATAGTTTGATTAAGTTTTTGAAAGAATGAACACTCTTTTTTTGATATCGAATGAGAAAATAGTATTACATCAAAAGAGTAATTCGATGTATCAAACGAGAATTCCAATGCCAAAATTTCGTCTGCAGCCTTGACATCGTATATGAACAATTAGATATTTTTTAACAACAACAGATACGCTATGGCAGTCATAATTTATTTACTCGAGAAGAATGTTTATAAAACATATATTTTGTCACTATACACACAAAAATGTCTCTGAGATTCTGAAACGAGTTTAAAGCCTATCGTTTCTGTATAAAATAAGAGAAAACTTCTTGAAACTTTGATTGATTAGTGAACAGCTGTAATAACAAATTACGGACAAGGTTTGCCAGGGAACACTCCCAACTCTCAGACGCCATTTGAGTCCATGTATTGGCTATAAACAGCACTCATTGAGATTGAGAAACATCTAAAAGGACTCGGCCCATGGTATATCTCAACAGAGATCTGATTGGTCCCTTTTTCCTCGACTTTCTCCTCTTTACTCTGGTAAATGAAAATCTGACATGTTTAACATGCAATTTGTATTTGATACATAAGGTTGAATGATATTTACTCAAAATGGTCTAATCAACCTGAAAATAACACTCATTCAAGTCTTGCTGCAATATTTCAATATCGAAAGGATAAAAAAGTAAAGACTATATTTTTCTCTTTGCTTGAGAATCATGTACAAGGGTTAACTGTAATGTATATCATACTACCTGATTGCAATGTTATCTCATGTTTCGTTCCAAGAATCAGTATTGGAACCGGTTAGAATCACATGTTCAACCTATGCGATTCCAGTGAAAATCGATGAAAAATGGCTCCAAGGAGAAAACAGTTTAGGAGCATTGATAAAAGACACTCATCATAATAAATCTTTTTAAAGAGAACATCGAAACAAAGGATTAAAATACCATGTTGTGAGCACCTTTTTATTGTACGCATTCTGATGGGGTGGGGGTGGGTGTGGGTGTAGGTGTTGGTGTGGGTGTGGGTATCGCTGCGGCATTAACAATTACAACACCCACACTCACACTCACACCCACACCCCACACCTACACCCACACCCCGACTCTAAAAAAGCTTCGAGCAAAAGACATTAAAAATTCAATAACTCCGTCAAATATCAATAGGTACTCAAATTATGTTCAAGTTTTTACTAGACTACTATGAAATATCTATACATAAGACAATCATCGAAACTGGGAGGGACCATTGTTGAGGAATTACTTGTACGTACCTCAAATAGTAGTAGTTGATGTTTGTTTTTTATTTAAAAAAAAGAATATACTACTACAATACAATCATGCATAAATACCAAAATCGTCTATGTATGGAATCAATGAATCTCAATTTTGAATCACTTGATGAAAGGTAGTATTGATTTTTCCAGTTTCAATAATATTCATTCAATTATTCTTGAATTAAATCTTTCAGTTCAAAGTTTTTCTAGAATATATGTGCATTGTTCATCTGCGCATATTACTTTTAAATATTATCAAATCATGTAAATCATACATGTCAAATGCAAATTTACAAGTGGACAGACAAATGAGTGTGTAATTTTTCACTTTTAGCATTGTTTATACATAAATTACATTCCAATTTACGAATACTGCGCCGAATACAAATGAATTTATCATGTATGAAAGATATCCTGTCTTCTACTAGTCAACTGAACTACCACTACAAGAACAACACTAGCAGCAGAAATAACATCACCATTCACTATCCAAAAATTGTTCAGAAGAGGTCTATTTTTGAAAATACTTGCTGAATCAATAAAAAGCGATCGAACAGCAGTTTAGACTTTTATCTTTGCTGGATTTGTAACTCTAGCTAATATGTATTTTACTTTCTTTTTTACTGTTTCTTTTATTTTTATGAAATCGATCTAACGTTACTGAAAAATGAGATGTCTAAATGTGGGCTGAATACATATATACATTGATTTGATCGCAAACATTACATTTCGAAATGAGAGTAAAATGCCAATGTTTTTTTTTGTCCTTTCAGTTTCTCTTTCTGTCTAATCATCAAATAATGCTTATTATTTTTCTTTCGTGAATAATATGTCACAAATAAATATTGCGATGCGCGAATTTTGCATCTATGAAGAAAAAAAAAAGTGATATGCAAGTGGGACCAATAAAAAAAAGACTCGGATTAAATTGTTTGGGGATATATAACGTTATCGCAGTTATTCATAATCTTTATACTATAATCATTAAAGAATATACTTTATAAGCGAGTATATATTCGATAGCTGAATACATCAAATCACAAAAAGAAAAAATGCAAGGTCATATTCTTGTCTTTTTGCTACTTTCTATAGCCTTCACGGAAGGAATATTGTTCAGTTGTAAGTTTATTTTCTTGAATTGTAGGCTTTCTCAAAATGTTTCTTTTATAGCAAAACCAAAGTGTCCAATTAAAGTATTTAAATCAAGCAAATATATCATAGGAGATAAATTATTACTCCATGAAAATTTTCATGATCGTGTTAAACCTTTAGAAAATGTGGCAAAAGATTGTAGAGTACATTTATATATTAAAGGATCATATTATCAATTGAAAGATCCGGCACAACAAGTCTTAATATCTGAAGCTGATATAGTCATTGGTCATGGTTTTCAATTCGAGTTTCGAGATGAAAAAAATGCACTTTTATGCAATAAAATATGTCTTTCAAAAAGTATGACTAGAATTAAATTTTAAATTTTAAACACAATCTTTTCGTTTTAGATCCAATGGATATACCAGAAGTGAAATGTTTCTTGCAAGGTGCCATTAATCGTGGTTTAACATGGTCACGACTTAATGCAGATGTTTTGAGTGATGGTACATATGCTTCAAATATGGGTGGATATCAAGCATTGAAAACAGACATTCAAACAAGATGTCAAAATGAAAAATTAAAACGACAACTCTTACGAGTACTTCGGAAGATGCATGAAGAAGAGGAAGAAGAGAAGAAGAAATAAATTCGATTTTAACTAAGACTAGACTTCATTTGAATCTCCTATTATATTTCATTCTGTTTTGATTAATCATTTAATATTTAAGAGAATTAAGTTTTATATAATGCCATTCAGAAAATATTGCTTTTGTTTGTGTTTACCATGTTAAAAGATTAACGCATTTGTGATAATTTTTCGTGTATGTGCTAACAAATAAATTATCATAAATATCCATCGCTCTTTTTTCTCTAGTTTATTTATATATGAGTAATATAATGGAATATAGACCGGACGTGTACGAGAAATTGCAAGCTGAAAATCAGTTTCTGTATAAAACATTTAAAAAAAGTAATCACAAAAATTAGTCAGCTCTCGATCTATTTTAGATCAGGATTAACAAACAGCCACTCGAAAGAATATTTGAATAGCGATAAGAGTTTTGGATTTCTTCACTCGCGTAAAAACAACAAAAGATCAGAGTTTTTCTTTTATTCATAATCATTAATAAAGAGTATACTTTATCTTGAGTTCTGATCGATATAAGAACCCACAGTTTAGGTGATTAATTCAAGTTCTGGAAAATTTTCTTGTGAAACTAACCTATTTTTCAAGCTATATAAATTGAGACTCTTTTTTTCTGTCATACATTAGAAGAGACTTCATTGTTATCCAAGCAATAGCTCTGTTTTGATCAAACGAATTTTCAAAAACTGACGCAAGTACTTGTCTATCTCTTATTAACAGCATTAAAAGAGAAAAAGTCCTATCATCTACTACTTATTGCAATCGTTTCATATCTCTATTTTTCATGCTACAGTCTTCTTTTAATATTTATGAACTGACTCTAGAAAATAATAACTTAGAAATTTTTCTCTTGTATAGTTCAAAGTGTCAAAAGAATAAGAACTATGAACGATAACACAATGAAGTAATGTCTTCTATTACAAATGATTCATATTGTGTAAAATGAAAGCAAAAAACAACAACAGTCGTAGAAGTACAATACGTACTCTAATTGCATTAGATCATTGTTTCACAGATTTTATTCGTAGACAAAAACACTTCTTAATTATAGAACATACATGTAATAATTCTGTTTCATATCTGAACAATAGAAAATCCATATACTACATGAAACGCTTCTTTTGCATGGTAATATTGAACGATAAAAAAACGAACACGACAAAGTATGAATGGAATTGCTGAAAAAACAAGACTAACAACAACAACACTAGATCGAAGAATTTCATAATTAAATGTTTTAAAAAAGCTGTCTCTTTTTAATCGACAGTTTTTTTAAGAACCTATTGAATATTTGATGGACAATATTCTAAAGCTTGTACAACAGCTGAATGTAGACAACCATAAAAAAATAAAAATCATTTTTGGAAGAGATTGCTAAAAATAACATGTCAGCTGTAGTAATTCATTTATTTGTTTACGACCGTTATTTAAAAAGAATCATTTTATGTAAGAGAATATATTGTTGATTTTTCTGTCGTTTATATTTCAATGTTTGTGACGAATGCTTGTTTAAGATGGATCAATGCTTAAAATGGGAGAAAACTGAAAAAGACATTTTTTATAATAATACGACTGAGGTCCTTCTAGTGTGAGATATTTTTTTGCGATTTTCTACGTATGTTTCGCAAGCTAATTAGAAATATGCCACCAAAATATTGTAATCAAGAGTGATGATATTCAGTGGCGTTGATTACATGTATAAAACATACATTTTCGACCTGAAATCTTATATTATGAATTTATGTTTACATGTAGTGAACACTTTCAAATGACCTCTTTATGAAGAAAGAACATCAGCAGAGCAAACTACTTTACTCTACTCTGACGACAGTCTCTGCTTCTGAATTAAGAAGAGATCAATATTAGCTTTGCAGACCATCTATTTTTTTGTAGTATAAATTATATGAATATGATTAGATTTGTATGTGCTTCACTTATCAAAATATTATATTCTGAGTACATGATCTGTTACTTTCAACATTAAGTTTTCAGGTAGCCAATATTGCTGCCTATTGATTCAAGCTCATAGGTATATCATTCAGCTTGAACTTCCAGCGAAAAGCCTTTCTGAAACCTACAAAATCATCGGATTACAATAAATTTTTCATCAAATAGTTTAATGGAGTAAAATCGAACAGCTCAATGTATTTTGAATTTTGAATTTGACTTGATTAACGGATGTATATATTATATTGTACTATATTGTACTAAGAGATATCACACGTATATCTTAAGTTTTAGTCTAAATATATTCTTTTGAGACTTTTGGACATAAGAAACGAATAAAAAGCAAGGGCACAAGCCTTGATGGATGCGTAGACAGCGAGAAAAAGATGAGAACAAAACGAGAGTAAAAAAATTTTATTTCCATTTAGTGAAAATAAGTGATGCGCACCAAAATTTTCGTATTTATTTCTCAAAAACATGAGACTTATAGCTTATATTTCTACAATAAATACTGCATAGCAGTGCTCAAGTATCAATTTGTTGAAAAAAAAAGAAATATATCTTGAATGCATTTTTTTAAGTGTGTAGCAAAAAGCTCATCGCCTAGTCATCATTTTTATTTTTCCGTCTATTAAATTGTACTGCAGGGTTGGGCATGACCTTTTGCTAGGGGGGTACAAGTCTAACTCGAACAGATGTAAAAGTGACTTTTATACCAAATGAAAGCCCGTCGATGAATGGATCTAGTAATATCACTGGCACATCATACAGGAGTGGCTCAAAAAGATCCGAAGTGTGATGAGGGCGTATAGAGGACATCAATGGACGATCACCGATTTCTTCTGAGAAACGGTGTCTGACATAATGCCAGAAAATCGAGTCGGCTTCGCTGGAAGAAAACGAAAGTTTTTCACAATTGTTGAAGAGTGAGCAGTTACCTCCATTATGGTCAGATCTGACTTTACAGGATGATAATGGAATATAGACTTATGGAAAGTTTCAAAATTTCAGGAAAATAATTGAAAACTTCCATGGGTAGTCAATCACTAAAACAGAGAATATTCAGAAAATCTTTTCGCCTATGACACTTTGTAGAGTTTTCTTTGCTAGTCATTTATTGGAAAATTTTAAAATATGATAAATAAATGACGCTGCTAGGGCCAAAAGACTCTAAAACCCCAAACAACTCTATCGGCTAAAGCTATGATGTTTTTCAGTATTTTTACCCTAGTGTCGTCATTCATTTAACAAGCTTTGAAACTTTTCAATAAATGATTAGCAAAGAAAACTCTGCAAAGTGTCATAGACGAAAAGGTTTTCTGAATATCCTCTGTTTTAGTGGTTGACTATCCATGGAAGTTTTCCATGATTTTCCTGAAGTTTTGAAACTTTCCATCAGTCCATAGCCTATTACCAACTTATGAAGTGTTAGTCATATTCCTAAATCCAGTTTTCGACAAACCTTCATTTGGTATAAAATTCACTTTTATATCTGTTCGACTTTGACTTGTACTCCCCTAGCAAAAGGTTACTTACGTATCACTCTGTATTATCCGTAGGTGGAGCAGATATTACTCATGTTCTATTCAATATATTTTGATATAATAATGGTTAAACCTCGTTTACATTCGGCACATAATTAATAGTGCTATTTAACTAGACATTAGAATTCAAGCCTTGTATAGTAATAATCCGTTCGAACAACATCAGGAATATGCCCTATGTGTCTTTGTATGATAGTGACAAGAATTCGTTATGATATTTTTCTGGCAAAATTTTCTATATGTTGTTGATAAAATAGTTGATTTGATTTAAATTTGAATGTTAAAAAAATTGCACTCGATTTCCAATTGAAATGGATTCCTATGGAGTTCGTATATATTTATAATAATGCATAGTTCTAACAAATTCTTAGAATAAACATGGCAAAAGAGATGTGTAAGACATAGATCTGTTGCATCTGAGATCGATTTTTATGTATAATAAGATTTTCTCTACAGTTATGTATTGAGAAACGATTGCTCTTCTTAGAATCCAAAACTCTAGCTGTTTGTTAAAAGACAGTTTGACTTTTTTTCTAAAATTTAGTTTGAAATGAAAAAAGTCATTGACCTATGCAGTGATAATGTTGATTGACGAAACAGCATGCACCATTTCATCGAAGTCTATCATATCTCTCTAGCACTAAGTTAATAAGTTAATAGGAGATAATCGTTTATCCAAAAAATAGATACAATTAGTAACCATATAATGATGTAAGTTATTCATATGATATTATGTTCTACAACCACAAAAGAATGAAATATCATACGGATCTAGAATATAATTAACAATGCCAACTTGTATTTGTTGTAAATATGTTATAAAATTACTTGAATTTTGTATAAACATTGAAGCTCCAAATATGATAATACGATATTTTAAACGACGAATTATCTTAGTCGAATAACACCAATAGGAATCCAAATGAAACTATCGACTGCATCAAGTGAAACTTTTTTGTTACAAAAAATTACATTCTGTCAATGACCTGATATTATGTACTTGGTTTTGACGAACGTGACTGATGGCACGGCTGATGATTCTATGTTAAATACATCGATTTGAGTGATAAGCACATGATAACGATCTTTCAGTAGGGTGTCTTGATATTATTTGCCGAAAATATTGCTGAACTAGGTCATTGATTAACAAATGTTTTCGTCTCTTTTCTTTATAATACATCATCCGTTTCTTCATAAAACTGTGTAGTATATCGTAAAGTGTTGAATAAAGAGTTTACTATGCTAACAATGTTTCACGAGAACAAATTATCGTCTTGACATAATGCTATAATTCAGTATCTTTCCTCTATAGGAATATGTTTAAACGTGTTTATATTTTAATCCACTATAGTCGTACAATAATGCAGTACTATAGTATCTTAGTTACTAAATGATGAATATAACATAGGATGCACTTCCTTAGCTTATATAACATACAGAGTTTAACCTGGACTTGCACTTATTGATCTAAACTTCACATAATTTGCCTCTCTGTGAAACTAATAAGTGGTGTATAGATGATCCCAAAAGCTGTCGTTTCTATTTTATGTAAAAGTAAAAACAATACCACTCGAAAATAGACAGAAAAATACAAAATGATGAACATGAAATGATTTTTCTGACAAATACAGTCATATAATAGTATATAATAAATACTTCTGCTTTTTCAAAAACTTGTTATAGTTAAAGTTCGATGCCACTATGTATCGCTAGGCATTGTCAAAAGTCAGTTTTTATTTGATTATGAGATATAAAACTAATCCTTTGGATAGCTAAATGTCAGAAACCTATATTGAACACTTATTATCTTCAGGATGATATGTGAAATCAAAAAATAACCCTAGTCAATGTACTAAGTTCAAAGTACTTGATATAGCAGGAACTTTTCGATCTTTTATCATTCAACTCCAGAATGCTTCGAAGCATTGGATCGACTAACTAATTCAGAAGATTTTCATACAATGCTATAGAAACTTTATAAGTAATCTAGTAGCTACCTCGATAGTACTGATGTAATCGAGCTGTTTTCAGCTGAGCACTGTACTAAGATCCTGTGATACAAGAATAGTAAGGTATTTTTTAGGCGCCCAGTGAGAACTACCTCACTATACAAGCGATATACTACACATGTGCTAAACATGCTGATTGCGTATTTTTTTCTCGAAGGTTCATTCTCAAATAAAACAAACTTATAAATGACCGAATTTAGTCTATACATGGGAAGAAGGAGCGTGATAGAATATTATCTTGATATGTGTATTACATAACTGAAAACGCTTAATGAAAACGAAACATTTCATTGTTGGCTTTTTTTCTCGTAATAAGACTCATATTTATGAAATGTTTGAATGAGATAAAATAAGAAAACGAAACTATTAGGCAAAGCTAACATCTGCTAGCCTTTCTTCGGTCAAATGAAAAAATAGTAAATCATTGGAAAATATACTACTGACCAGAAGTATTAATCTTTGTTGGCTCTTAGTCCATATGAGAGCTATATGTCTGAAAATTCTTCTGCAGATAGTCCACAGATAATATAGATCAGCGATAGTTTCAGCATCAAAAATACTCCCGCTAGAACGAAGTTATCATAGATGGTGCCCGCAATCACTACTAATCTCATAACTCGAAAACAGATAAAATTTTTGACTCGTTCAATAAATCATTTTTACTGAGAACATGATTTTGAAACAATACCATAGAATGCTATTGAAAGGTCAATAGTTTGATGATAATTTGACGAATCAATCTGAAATTTCCAGAAAGTGTTCCACTATAGTTGTCGATTGTTTCCTGAAAGGTTCAGAAGCAAGCATTTTAGTAAACGAAAATGGCGCACTGATGATTATAGCATACATGTCAAGACTCAGAAATCTCTATTACTAAACTAAATGAATTTATTTTTTCAGCAGTGAAGGACCATGAGTTGTGATATAATGTTTTTTCTATACGGTACTAACGCCATGCAAAACAACTTTCTGAGTAAAGCCTTTATAAATGAAGACAATTTCTACATTTAGCAGAAAGATAGCAAAAAATTGGTTGACGGATTTATGATTTGCTTTTAGAATAACATATGAGTAATTATTGATCTTGCATCACAATGTTATAGCACAACTCATGATCCTTCATTGCTGAAAAAATAAATTCATTTGGTTTAGTAATAGAGATTTCTGAGTCTTGACATGTATGCCATAATCATCAGTGTGCCATTTTCGTTTACTAAAATGCTTGCTTCCAAACCTTTCAGGAAACAATCGACAACTATAGTGGAATACCTTCTGGAAATTTCAGATTGATTCGACAAACTATCATCGAGCTATTGATCGTTCAATGACACTCTATGGTATTTTTTCAAATTCATGTTTTCAGTAAAAATGGTTTATTGAACAAGTCAAAAATTTTATCTGTTTTCGAGTTATGAGATTAGTAGTGATTGCGGACACCATCTATGATAACTTCGTTCTAGCTTGAGTATTTTTCATGCTGAAACTACCGCTGACTTATATTATCTGTGGACTATCTGCAGAAGAATTTTCAGACGCTTGGTTCTCATAGGGCCTAAGACCTAGGTGAAATGGGATACTTTTAGCCGGTATTGTGAATCATCATTTGAAATATAATTTTTTTATAAGTAGGACTAATTAAAGCTACTCAAAATATCAAAGTCATCGAAAAGATTAAATAATATGAAGCTGCTAGATGTAATTCAATCCATTCATGCTTATTTTATTATTTATAATTGAATTATGAATAACACCATGAAGTTCCAAGAAATAAATAAATATATCTTTGTTTTTAATACATTTATTGGTTTATCTCTTTGCATCTATTATGAAGATTCATTCTTATTTTTTCGTGTTACAAAAGTCTCATTTATCACAAATGGACATTAAAAACAACTTTGTTTAGAGATTTTGTCTTTAACAAACTTCATATCGAGAAATACAAAGTGTTTATCATTCTCTAGTGTACCTGAGAAGAAAAAGGGGCAAAATCTTTCTATTCAGTACACTATTGCCTTCATGCACATCTCTAATATGCAAACATGGCACAAAGAAAACAAAAAAAAAACGTATTTTTTTCGCTTTTCTTTCTTTCTTATCGGTTTCATATAGATTAACATCGTCTTGTTTGTCATATCGCTGCCTTTTTTTGCTACCCTTTCGCACAAAACATAGTCACAATGGATTCTTCTTCATCGTCAACAAAAAATAAACCATTAGTAGTAATAACAGGCGCATCATCAGGTATTGGTGAAGCCTGTGCTCGATCATTTTCTGCAGCTGGTCATCCTCTTTTACTTATTGCTCGTCGTCTTGATCGATTACAAGCATTAAAACTTCCAGACAATGTTATTTGTGCACAGGTTGATGTTACAGATAGAGCAAAACTTAAAGAAGTCATAGAAAAAGCTGTAGAAAAATATGGACCTGTTGATTGCTTAGTAAACAATGCAGGAGTTATGCTTTTGGGTAAAGTACAAACACAAAATCCAGAAGAATGGCAGCGAATGTTTGATGTCAACTTAATGGGGGTTCTTAATGGTACTCACGTTGTTTTACCTTCTATGAGTAAATGAAACTATTTTCTTTGTTTTATTGTTATTTTTTATTATTCCTCTATGCTTAGTTGAACGTCGTGGTGGTACAATTATTAATATTAGTTCTATTGCTGGACGAAAAACATTACCTGATCATGCTATTTATTGTGGAACTAAATTTGCTGTACATGCATTTACAGAACAAATTCGTGAAGAAGTTTCACAATACGATGTACGTTTAGTTAATATTGCACCAGGTGTTGTTGAAACAGAATTATTGAGTCATTCAACAGATAAACAAATTGTTGACGATTATAAAACATGGAAAACTAAAATGGGCCAACCAATGGAAAGTGAAGATATAGCTCGTTGTATTATGTTTGCTTATGAACAACCACAACGTATATGTATTCGAGAAATTCTTGTTTGTCCCACACGACAAGACAAATAACATGAAGCAATAATTTTTAGTTTAGAAAAATATAAGTAGAACATGATTTCTTTTCTTTGTTTTTAAATAATTTTATTTAACTATATTAATTATCTGTTAAAAAAAACATATATTAAATAAGAAATAAAAGATACATGATTAGAAATATCTACATGAGATGGATTAATTCTTTGTTTTCAATAATATATGAAATAAATGAAAAGTTATAAGAGAATATCAATAGAATTTATTCTTCATATTCACATGATTTTAAAAATACATTTTAATGTGTTGGTGTTTAAATTTAGAGAAGATTCTTATTCGATATATCTGATGATTAACAGTTCGTGAAGTCAGCAAATATCAACAAAGTCGGTATTACATTATACTGAATATAGTATTTGAAGGTATTCAATCAAGTGAACTAGTTTCATTCGTATCCAATGATTGACCTGCATCTATTTGGAGATTATCGTTTGTATTATTTGATAGTATGATTGAATTAAAAATAGAATGATTACTAAACCATAATTGACTGTATAATTGAACACAATATTTAATTCTGCAATTCATTATATTTAATCATTATCAACAAATATACAATGATGATATTTTTTCTTCAGAAATAACATGTTTTATTCTTCAGTGCAATGATTAGTGAAAAAAAAAACATAACTTGCTAATATTTTACTTCTCAATAAAATATTAATAATAGTCGAAATTTTCTTTGTCTGATATAATTATTTTATATATTTGTTAGAGAGCTAATAGTGCAATAAAAACATGAGAGGTAGACTATTGATCTTATATCGAGAGTATATTATGGACTTGAGCTATAGACATAACCATATGTCATTATAATGAATTAATTTTTTCGGATTATCTAAATAGAAAACAGTGTCATAAGTGAGGGGATGCTGATTAAAGAAAATATTTCTATTTTTGTTTCAAATTTTGATCAAAAGTGCAAAGTTGAGCACAATTCAATTCTTAGAAGCTTTGTGATAATACAAGTAATAGGCTTATTTCAAGTTTTACATTCATCTTAGTTGTTGATTTATAACTGTCATGTGTTCTTATTTTCTACGTCTTCACTTGTAGTTGAGAGAAAAATCAGATACACTCAACTTTGATCAAAAATAAAACTGTCGAACGTAAAAAATATCGAAGTAACAAAATATGAATGTGGATAGCTTTAGGTGAGTATAGTCGAAGAAGGATGTGGATGATTGATGGTGTAGATCAATAGTATGAATACGGGTGTACTCTTCATCTAAATCTACACTGACAACTGCATCGAAGCAGAAAAGAGACACGAAAAATAGCATTAGAAAGCTGAATAAAAACATATAATCGATATAATAATTATATCATTACAGCATTTCATCTCATCAATGGTTTGGCTTTAGTTGTAGCAAAACAAGTTATAATTGTACAATAAGAACATTGTTTAAGGTCGATAAACCAGTGTTTCGTAGTATTTTGCTTATCTTTAATTTTTTTCTTTTTTCTATATAATAAATATTTGATTCCAATTCAGCTACTTGCTATTCAAGTTTAATGAACGAGAAAAGATTCAGAAATCTCCAGGTCATTTTTCCGATATTTTTTACTTTTGACCAAATTTGGGAAAATCAAAAATGATTCCAATTATCAAACAATAGCTCGATAATTAATATGTTCTCATCAATGAAAGTTCTTGTTCTGTGTTTGATTCATAATAAGAAAAAAAGAGTATTCTTAGTTTTGTATGAAAAATAATCACAAGATACCTAATCAATTCTGTTTGTGAATTTTTCATGATGTCTTGAAAGCAAGTATCTGTATTGATTGAGCTTAATATCTGAAATGCTGCTATGAAAACAAACGAAATTTTCCAGTTTTCATTGAAAATTCGAAATAACGACATTGACATAAATCTTCGCTGATTTACTGAATGATCTCAATTGAACCGTTCATTGGTGTGGAGCAATGATATTATGAACATTTTAACATCCTAGATCAACAATTCTTTTAGAAAAATACCAATGACTGTTCATTTCGATTTTTTGAAATCATTAAAGTTACAAAATAAAATTGATATCAACAAACACAACTGAAAAGCATCGCACTAATTTCATTAACTTTTCCAACCGAAGTTTATTTTATATATAAGAATTATAGATTTTACAATAGTTTTATGAAAAGCAAAGTCAAAGAGTAAAGAAAGAATCATTGTCAAGGTTTAAAAAAGCTTTTTTTGCTTTCTATGATTTAATAATTGATTGTAGCAATAATTTTATAATGCCTACAATGGATTGTTTGTCGTTGTCACTCTATTGGTATTTATGGCAGCATTATTCTGTTGTGGCTCTACTTGATGTGAATGACAGCAAGAAGTGAAAAGCTTTTTAACATCTTGTCGAAATTTACTTGAAACAATAAGATATAGATAAAAAGGTGCACAATTATTAATAATAATAAGAAATGGTGTTGAAAAATAAGAAATAAATGATTCAATACGAATTCTTTCAATACTTTTTGGATAATTTGAAGTAATTGCTGAATAAGTTATATTAATTGAATAAAGAAGATTTGTAAAAATATAAAGTAAAACTTCACAAATAAGTAATAGTAATAATTGTTGATCACGTTTACTAAAAACTTGATTATTGATTGTTCTTCTAGTCGAGGTGTCTGTATAATTATTATTAAAACTGGCAGAGAAGTTTTGCGGAGTAACTCGTGCTCTTATCTATAATTAAGAATAAATATATTTATTAAATTTTACATTTACTTTCTAAATACCTTTTTTAAATTTCGATATGCAATAAAACCAAATATTGCCATGACTATAGGCGGTGACCAACCAGATATTATAATTGAATATGCACTAAAAAGTTTTGCATAAATACCTGATTGTGGTACACAACGACCAGATTCAATTCGAAAATAGACACCTAAATGAATAGGTATTAAAAGCCAAATAATTGTTATAATTGAGATAGTTCGATAAGCAATTGAAACATTACTAAATGCTCGTATCCATACATGACGGCTACACATAGCTGCGCGATCAATACAAGCCGCCATTTTATACCAACGATAAAGCATAAGAAGAGCATTGAATAAATAACTACGAATTTTACACCAAATAAGTAAACTATTTTGTGGATCCCCATGATCTGCAGAATAGATAGCTAATGGTAAAATACATTGAATAAGAATAAAATTAACAACTGTTCCCGAAAGTAAATACAATGAACATGAATTTCTTCGATGAGTAAGTTGTATAAGAATACGAATCAATAGAAAATTACCAATTGTTCCAAGAATATAAAATGTTGATAAACCATATAAAGACATAGCTCGTTGAGCTTGAGCAAGTGATGTTGACATTATTGAAAATATAGGTTTTCAATTAATATGAATCTAAAGACATGAAAGAATTCTTCATCGTTACATGTTTAAAAACATCTACGTTTACGAATACAAAAAAAAATAGCTAATTCAATTTAGTATGATAGTGAACATATGAATAAAGAAAAAAGCGTCTTAAATTATAAATAAACTATCAGAAGCTATCAAATACACGTTTCATTTTGTGGAATAAAAGACATATTTAATCATATCGAACTATACTTATTCGTAGTAAATAAACATTAAGAATAAAAATATCATGATATTCTAAATGTTACTCATCTAGTTATTTGTTTTTCAAGTGTATGTTATAATGATTTTAGAAAAATTACAGACTTTACAGTGCTCATGAAAAACATCTATTTAAAAAGGAAGAGGTATAATTAGATAAGGAAGAGAAAAAAAGTAGCTCTAGAATAGATAAATATTATGTTTAGTTCTTTCCTTGGATGAAATAAATTATGTCTTAACTATTGGATTAATTTCACTATTGAGTTTGTGAAATAGAGCATATAATTACTCTATTTTTTCAGCAGATTTTTCATGATTTTTCTAAAAATGTTTACTACGTAACTTTTTAGAAAAAGTCATTTACTCAATGACGTTTACATTACAAAGACATCAATTAAATATTGTTGTTGTTTCTTCCTATATTTCTGTTAAACTTTAAAAATAACTAAATCAAATACTAATGAAAAATGTTATATAAAATTAGTAAGAGAACATGTTGGGAAAATGATAAGATAAAGAAAAATAAGTGTTACTAATGACTAGTTAAGAAAAGAACCACTCAATGGGATGTATTCCGTTTCGATTCATTAAATACTGCTACATTGAATATATCGAACTAGGTAGTAAAAATCTCCAGGATCATTTTTTTCACGATTCTTTTTTGAAAAAGTATACGTGTTTTCCCAATTTTCTGTTTTAAAAAACCAAAAAATTTCTAATGTAACCATGAACAGTCGTAAAGATTAGGACTTCAAAACGAATTTTAGTATATCATTTATGCCATGCTCGGAGTATGCTCTGATGGAGATTATCATTAAAGTGAATCTCTCCTTTTCTGCTCTACGTAAAGACATCTCACTGAAACAGGAAACTTCTTTTATTTAAAAAATAATTTTACAACAACAAACTACGTTATCAAATAGTTTCCCGCAGAAACAAAGACACTAGAAAGAAAGTATAGGAAAAAAGTTTGAAAAATAAAATTTCTAACGTTTAATGAAATTCCTACAACTCAAAAAATGATGAGAACAAAAATTTTTTCACACAAATTACATAATACTAATGTGAGCGGTAGACACAGCTACAAGATTGACGTTCACTGTCGCAAAATGCTAAAACGAAGTAGACATAAATGAATCAAAACAGCAGGTGTCTCTTTAATTACGAGTCGTTCTTTTGTCAGTGATAGTAAAAATGTAAGAGATAACCTAATGATATAAAAGTACTTGCGACATTAATGAGCATGAAACAAGTCAGAAAAACTTACATCAATTTCTTCTTATTTAGGTAATAATGAGTGTCAAAATGACGAAGTATTCTGATTTAACAGCAAAATGGCATACAGAAATCTATATTTATACATAATACCTCTATTCTCTAGTTCCTAAAAACTGCTTTATGTTTTATATAGAGTTTTAAGAATAAGTCAACTGTTTAATAACCATCAATATATGCTATCATGATTCAGGTGTCAGATTTTAATTCTATTCAATGTTAATTAATGACAACAGCAACAACAACAGATTCATACAATTAATTCTAGAAAGATTCTTACAAGTTATTGAGCTCCGATCAACATTGTATTAGCATGAAGTAAAAGAAAAGTTGTTGACATTATAAGTTTTTATAGAAATTCAAGCTTATACTGTTTAGATGTGAAGTAAATGAAATGAATGAGTTTCTAGTCTAAAAAAAAAGTAAATGGTTCATAGATTTGAAATTATTCTAACAAGAAATATATTTTCACATATAGTCAGCAAAATTTACAATCAAAAAACGCATTTTTCCACTCGAGTATTTTCTACATGACTTGTTTGAAAATAATAAATTAAAATGCATGTTTTCCTATTGTGCTCACAAAACTCGACAATGATTTTATAACAAGCTATTTTAAAAAGAGATTAAAAGATTGCAATACTAAATGAAAAACCAATGTAAAAACAAAGTGCCGAATAACATTTATAGAACGTTTCGCATAATGGTCAATTGCAAGGTTTGAAAAAAGTTTATCAAAAAAAAAAATGAATCTTGACGGGAAATTTAAAATGAAGTGAAATTCGACGCATTGATGTAATTAATCATGAAATGTTGATGGAATACATACTCGTACATCATGTGGACTCGGACATCCTCAATAAGTTTTGAAGAATATCAAAAGTTACTTAGTTTTTGAATTTTATTTTATTTCAAAATCAATATGTATCAAAGTTAAAAAAAAATGTGAAGACAGAATAAAAGGAAAAATACTTACTATTTGACTATCATTAGCAATATAGGAATGTTTCAGTACGAAGTCGTTAGCTCAATATCTTCAGTTATTCGCGTAGATATTTTAACTGTAAAAAGAATGTTTTCATGATTTTATTTGGATCAAAAATTGATCTTGGATCAGATGCATTCAAATCGCATGAAATTTTCCGAATTTATTGGGACTGTATTAAACAGAATATGCTGAAACTTTCAGCTCTGGATCATGATGTTTCCAGAAGCTATTGACCGAACAACGGTAAAATATAACTTACTTGTGGACAAACCTAAATTCTCTACGGGTCCTCATTTTATAGACTTAATTCTTTATATTTGAAAGTGCATGTCATCTTGCTATGTCTCATAGAGCTCTTCTTGTTTTTTTAATTCTTACTTTTTAAATGAAGAAAAAGGATGACAAGTGTTCTATAACTAGAAAAACTCTTAAAAAATAGTCCTCTATTTATAGAAGCACTTTTTTTATATAATCATAAAAAGGCTTAATTCAAAGAATGAGATATGACAGGAACTGCAACTTCATATGCTTTTTCAAACAAAAATAAAGCTATTGGGTACAATGAAACTTCTTTAAGAATTCTACAATGCGCAATAAAAAAGGCAGATTAGACCTCCAGTTATCTTCCCATGCGTTTATCTCGATTTCGAGTTTTCTGACGAAAATTGACTTTAGGAGGAGGAGCTTCAGGAAAAATGAACTAGCTTAGACAGCAGAATCTTTTTAATATATCATAGTATAACCGTCGAACTATATTATGTCACATGTAAGTGGAATTTAAATATTCCAACATTCGTTGAAACATAATGGATTGAATGGTCTTAAATATATATTGAATTTTTATTTTACTGCTTTTTGGATATTATTCTAATATTAATCCTAGTACAACTAAGCCTATTTTAGACATTATACAATGATATATTTTTATTATACGATTTTTTCGTCATCAAACTGATGTTTTTGTCCAAGTTATACTATTTTCTATTCGGTTTGATGATGAAATGATTCAGAGGGGTGTGTGAGTGTGGGTATAGGGTGTCGGCAACGGCGCAACCAGGATTTTTAGAGCAATGGGCAAACTTCTCTTATGCTAGCAAAAAATGATGCGCAAAATGAGCAAGGTTTTCATTTATGGGCCAAAAAATTTTTGATCCAACCAAGTACTGATAATGTAAAAAAAAACAAAGAAATGAAATGAGGCTCTTTTAACCAAATATGCATAAAACTCAGATCTTAAGTTCCCTCCGTCCTCAAGAAAAGTCAATTTTCGTCAAAAATATGAAAACTGAGATAAGTGCGTGAGAACATAGCCCGAACTCTGCCCTTTCAAAAGAGATATAGCTTTTTATTTGACACATCATTTTTAGCAAAACTTTTTGATGTTTTCGGTCACCGCCTGCTTGAGAAATAAGCTGATTTTTAGTAAAATTGAAAAATCTTTCTCGCTTTTTTCTCAGTTTATGATCTGTCGAACGCTCAACCCAAGTTTCTCCGCCCAAGCTAACTATACAGGATGGTCCAAAAGTAACCGAACAGTCTTCGATTGCGAATAACTTTTGATAGGAACAAGATAGAGAGCTACGATTTTCATCGTTTAGAAGAGGAAAAAACCTGCATCGAATCTTCAATATCAGATTTTTATGACAATATTCACTCGAAGTCTCCAGACAATTTTTGTGATGCAAACTTTTGTGTAATCTAAAAGTTTTAGAATTTTAATTTTCAGTAATGTATCGGAATCGCTGACTAAAGTTCAATACCCAGGGAATAAAAAAATGAAAAAAATGGCATTTCTGATGATGAAACGGACATTTTCTTTGATGTTTTTCGATTTCATCGATGAAAATGAATATTTTCATCAAAATAATGCCATGACTTTGAAAAAAATCAAATTCATGCAATGTCACCGATGAAAATAAACATTTTCATCGATGAAATTGAAAAACATCAAAGAAAATGTCCGTTTCATCATCAGAAATGCCATTTTTTTCATACTTTTGATGCAAAATTCATGAAAGTCATGGCATTTTTTTCATTATTTTATTCCCTGGGAAGACTAAATTTATATACAAGCAAACGGCTTGTTGGTTATTGACCGACAAAGTTAGCCGTTTATCGGCTGATAGATTATCATGAGTGATAAAAACAAACAAAGAGAATTGAAAATCTTCATCAGATTGATTTGGATAGATGGAAAATTTCTTATAAAAATATACCACTTCATTTAAAAAGCATTCACTTATTAATTATCATGTTTTCTAAGATCAAACAAGCTTGAATTTTTTCTAGTGCATTAAAAAAAAACAATAAAAAGTTCACCTTTCTACTAAAATAAGACCGTCGAAAACAAGACAATTTTATTGGTTTCTTGTGAATTTTCATGCACGAAATGTATTTCAAAGCTTCTAGAAGACTTCAAGAGACTTCATCAGACTTCAAGAGATTTCATCAGACGTCAAGAGACTTCATCAGACTTTAGAGACTT